GGAGAGTGGGGGAGATGGGTGGGGGTGGAGTGGGGTGAGAGTGGAGAGATGAGGGGGAGATGGGGGGGGTGGACTGGGGGAGAGTGGAGAGATAAGGGAGAGATGGTGGGGGGGGGGGGGAGGTTGAGTGGGGGGAGAGAGATGAGGAGAGATGGTGGGGGGGTGGAGTGGGGGGGGAGTGGAGAGATGAGGGGAGATGGTGGGGGGGTGGAGTGGGGGGAGAGATGAGAGAGAGATGAGAGGGAGATGGGGGGGAGGGGGGTGGAGTGGGGGAGAGTGGAGAGATGAGGGGAGATGGTGGGGGAGGTGGAGTGGGGGGGAGTGGAAAGATGAGGGGGGATGGGGGGGGGACTGGGGGTGAGTGGAGAGATGAGGGGGAGATGGTGGGGGGGGGGGTGGAGTGGGGGGGGGGGGAGTGGAGAGATGAGAGGGAGATGGGGGGGGACTAGGGGGAGAGTGGAGAGATTAAGGGAGATGGTGAGGGGGGGTTGACTGGGGGAGAGTGGAGAGATGAGAGGAGATGATGGTGGTGGGGGGGGGGAGACAGGAACCCCCACCCCTCCCCGTGGGGCTCCCAGCGCCTTTGGGGTGAAAGTGGCTCCCAGAGATAAGAAGACAAGATCGCGACCCCTCAGCGTATCCCCTCAACCCCCATCCCCCCCCCCCCCCTTTCGCTCCAACATAATGACACTAACAATAACAACCATTTACAGTCCATGTTCAATCCTCTGCCGGATGAAGGAAGGCCTCCCTACGCTGGGTTGTGTGCCCATACTTCACCATGCGAGGCAGTGTGGCTTAGTCAACTGGGAAGGAGAGGGGGAGGAAGGATTGGTTCAGAAAACACTCGCCACAGGTGTTGGCCGTGGCCGAAATTCAAACTCAGGTCACAGAGGCTCGTAACGCGTGACGCTAACTACTGCGCCACCGCTCCACTCACTCAACCGCGTTACCTCCTCAAACCACCTCGGTCAACACACCGACATTCTGCCCGCATCGCCTCGTAAACCCCTCACAAACTCACTCACCCATCATGCGATCACTCATCCCTCACTCATCCCTCACTCCCCACCCTCACCCTCCTCTCCCACCCTCTCCCACCTCACCTCACCCACCTCACTCACCTCACCCACCCTCTCCCCACCTCACCTACCTCACCCACCCTCACCCACTTCTCTCCCCTCACCCTCCTCACCCACCCTCTCCCACCTCTCCCCCCTCACCCACCTCACCCACCTCACCCACCCTCACGCACCTCTCCCCCCTCCTCACCCACCTCACCCACCCTCTCCCACCTCTCCCCCCCTCACCCACCTCACTCACCTCACCCACCCACCCATCTCACTCACCTCCCACCTCTCCCCCCTCACCCACCCTCACCCATCCTCTCCCCACCCTCTCCCACCTCTCCCACCTCATCCCACCTCACCCACCCTCACCCATCCTCTCCCCACCCTCTCCCACCTCTCCCCCCTCACCCACCCTCTCCCCACCCTCACCTACCTCACCCACCCTCCCCCACCTCACCCACCCTCACCCACCCTCACCCACCTCTCCCCCCCCTCACCCACCTCACCCACCTCACCCACCCTCTCCCACCTCACCCACCTCTCCCCCCCTCACCCACCTCTCCCACCTCACCCACCCTCACCCACCTCACCCAACCTCACCCACCACTCACCCACCTCACCCAACCTCACCCACCCTCACCCAACACTGACCAACCTCACCCACCCTCACCCACCCTCACCTATCCTCTCCCCACCTCTCATCTCACCCACCTCACCCACCTCACCCATCCTCACCCTCCTCACCCACCTCACCCACCTCACCCATCACTCACCCACCCTCACCTATCCTCTCCCCACCTCTCATCTCACCCACCTCACCCACCTCACCCAACCTCACCCACCTCACCCACCTCACCCACCTCACCCACCCTCACCCACCTCACCCACCTCACCCACCTCACCCACCCTCACCCACCTCACCCACCTCACCCACCCTCACCCACCTCTCTTCCTCACCCACCCTCACCCACCCTCTCCCACCTCACCCACCCTCGCCCTCCTCACCTCACCCACCCTCACCCCAACTCACCCTCTCCCCACCTCTCCCCATCAGTCACCCGCTTCACCCACCCACTCATCTCTTCCACCACCGTCACCCACTCACTTCCCTCACTCGAACCCGCTCATCCTTTGACCTCGCTCACCCACCATCGCTCGCCACCCCCGCTCACCACCCTCGCTCACCACCCTCGCTCACCACCCCCGCTCACCACCCCCGCTCACCACCCTCGCTCACCACCCTCGCTCACCACCCCCACTCGCCCCCTCACTCACCCGCTCACCGCCTCACTGCCCCCCCCACCACCCCGCTCCCCCCGTGCCCCCTCCCCTCTCGAGAGGGATACCGCTCCCCTATTTTTAGGAGTCGAGTTGAAAGTCATGGACTGTCGTCTCCGCGGATCGCGGTGTTTGTTTTTGCTAAAAAGTACAGAAAAATAAACACGGGGGAGGGGGGGGGAGGTGGAGGGATGAGGGTGGGATCAGAGGGGATGGGGGTGGGGGCAGAGGGGAGGGGGTCAGGGGGGAGGGAGGGGGCGAGGGGGGAGGGGGGCAGGGGGGAGGGGGGGAGGGGCGCTCTAAATGCGTGTATCGTTCTCCGGTTTTCCCCTCTCACATTTAGAAGCGACGTGCGCTTTAGTGTACTAGGCTGATGATGATGATGTTGTTTGTACATTTCCACACGACGACGATATATATATAAAAAGCCACTTTGGTTGTTGCTATCATCCTAGTTTGCTGTCCTGCCCACCCAACTCAGATTCCGATTCGCACGTTTGGCTACGTACGGCGCGAAAGAAGTTCAGCGCACGTACGTCACGCGTGCGGACAGGTCGCTCCTGAAAAACTAAGAGCTCTAAAGCTCAGACAACCTGGTTAACAACAACAACAAAAACTAAATCGTAAAGAGAAGACACGTCTCCTCTTCTCCTCCTGATCTTGTACAACTACGAAGACTTGAGATGGGCCCTCAAGCGATGTCACTGTGGGCTGACAGGTGATGGTACCCGCCCGCATGTGATGGTGGCGATGGTGGTGGTGGTGATGTTGACGATGAGGAGGCGATGGTGATGTGGGGAGTAGTGTAGCGGTTAGCGCTACGCTGCACTACGAACTTGGCGACCCAGGTTCGATTCCCGCTCACGGCAAACACCAGTGACGATTATCTGAACCGGTCCTGGGCCTTCCCCTAGGTCGACTCAGCCTCAAATGAGTACCTGGTGCGGTGTGTAAACATCGTCGCTAGGGAGACAAAGGCGGTCGGGCGTGGTGATGGCCACACCCACCCCTCGTGTACCGTTCCGGCCTTCATAGGTGCTCGCTAACAGTACTTGCCCCTACAGTCTGTTAAGGCTATACGGGGGATCTTTAGTGGTGATGTTGATGATGACGTTGAGACGAGGAGGCGATGGTGATGTGCTCACGTGCGCTCCGAGCGAACGTGTGGTGGTGGTGTATACGTGTCTATAGTGAAGTCTGTGTGCGTGCTGTCTTTGTGTGTTCGTGTTGTTGTTGTTGTTTTTGTTGTTTTTGTTGTTGTTGTGGGGAGCGGTGGTGGAGCGGTGGTGGAGCGGTTAGCGCGCTGCGAGACGACCCAAGTTCAGTTCCCGCTCACAGCCAACACCGGTGACGATTATCTGAACCGGTCCTGGGCATCCCCTAGGTCGACTCTGCCTCAAATGAGTACCTGGCGCGGTGTGTAAACATAGGTGCTGCTGCTCGCCCATAGCACTTGCCCCAACAGTCGGTCAAGGCTATACGAGTGATCTTTGTCTGTGTGTGTGTTTGTATGCGTGTGTGTGGGTATTTGTGTGTATATGTGTGTGTGTGTATATGTGTGTGTGTTTGTGTGCGTGTGTCATTGCAGACCCCAGGGTTTGTGCCAAGGAATGCGACGCTCACTCACATCGCACTCACATCGCCCACACAGCCAGAGGGCGAGGGTCGGGGGGTGGTGAGGGGTGGTGGTGAGGAGGGGGGTGGTGAGGGGGATTGGTGAGGGGTGGTGGTGAGGAGGGGCGTGGTGAGGCGGGTGGTGATGGGGGTGGTGAGGAGGGTGGTGAGGGCGTGGTGAGGGGGGGGGGGTGGTGAGGGGGGGTGGTGAGGAGGGTGGTGAGGGGTGGTGGAGAGGAGGGGGGTGGTGAGGGGCGTGGTGAGGAGGGGCGTGGTGAGGCGGGGTGGTGAGGAGGGTGGTGAGGGGCGTGGTGAGGGGGGGGTGGTGAGGGGGGGTGTTGAGGAGGGTGGTGAGGGGTGGTGGAGAGGAGGGGGGTGGTGAGGGGCGTGGTGAGGGGGGGGGGGTGGTGAGGGGGGTGTTGAGGGGGGTGGTGAGGAGAGGGTGGTGAGGAGAGGGTGGTGAGGGGGGGTGGTGAGGGGGGGTGGTGAGGGGGAGTGGTGAGAGGGGTGGTGAGGGGGGTGGTGAGGAGAGGGTGGTGAGGGGGGGTGGTGAGGGGGGGTGGTGAGGGGGGGGTGGTGAGGGGGGGTGGTGAGGAGGGGGGTTGGTGAGGGGGGGTGTTGAGGAGAGGGGTGGTGAGGAGAGGGTGGTGAGGGGGGGTGGTGAGGAGAGGGTGGTGAGGGGGGGTGGTGAGGGGGGGTGGTGAGGGGGGGTGGTGAGGGGGGGTGGTGAGGGGGGTGGTGAGGGGGGTGGTGAGGAGAGGGTGGTGAGGGGGGGTGGTGAGGGGGGTGGTGAGGGGGGTGGTGAGGAGAGGGTGGTGAGGGGGGGTGGTGAGGGGGGGTGGTGAGGGGGGGTGGTGAGGGGGGGTGGTGAGGGGGGTGGTGAGGAGAGGGTGGTGAGGGGGGGTGGTGAGAGGGGGTGGTGAGGGGGGGTGGTGAGGGGGGGTGGTGAGGGGGGGTGGTGAGGAGGGGGGTTGGTGAGGGGGGGTGTTGAGGAGAGGGGTGGTGAGGAGAGGGTGGTGAGGGGCGTGGTGAGGAGGGGGGTGGTGAGGGGGGGTGGTGAGGAGAGGGTGGTGAGGCGGGGTGGTAAGGAGAGGGGGGGTGGTGAGGAGAGGGTGGTGAGGAGGGGGTGGTGAGGGGGGTGGTGAGGGAAGGGGTGGTGAGGAGAGGGTGGTGAGGGGGGTGGTGAGGAGGGGGGTGGTGAGGGGGGTGGTGAGGGGGGTGGTGAGGAGGGTGGTGAGGGGGGGTGGAGAGGAGGGGGGTGGTGAGGGGGGGTGGTGAGGGGGGGTGGTGGTGAGGGGGGTGGTGAGGGGGGTGGTGGTGAGGGGGGTTGGTGAGGGGTGGTGGTGAGGAGGGGGGTGGTGAGGGGGGGTGGTGAGGAGGGGGGTGGTGAGGAGGGTGGTGAGGGGGGGTGGTGAGGGGGGGTGGTGAGGGGGGGTGGTGAGCAGAGGGTGGTGAGGGGGGGTGGTGAGGGGGGGTGGTGAGGGGGGGTGGTGAGGGGGGTGGTGAGGGGGGTGGTGAGGAGAGGGTGGTGAGGGGGGGTGGTGAGGGGGGGTGGTGAGGGGGGGTGGTGAGGAGGGGGGTTGGTGAGGGGGGGTGTTGAGGAGAGCGGTGGTGAGGAGAGGGTGGTGAGGGGCGTGGTGAGGAGGGGGGTGGTGAGGGGCGTGGTGAAGAGGGGGGTGGTGAGGGGGGGTGGTGAGGAGAGGGTGGTGAGGCGGGGGTGGTGAGGAGAGGGTGGTGAGGGGCGTGGTGAGGAGGGGGGTGGTGAGGAGGGGAGTGGTGAGGGGGGTGGTGAGGGGGGTGGTGAGGGGGGTGGAGAGGAGGGGTGGTGAGGAGGGTGGTGAGGGGGGGTGGAGAGGAGGGGCGTGGTGAAGGGGGGGGTGGTTGGATAAAAATGGGGGGGGGGGGGGAGATGAAGAGAGGAGAGGGTAGGACAGAGCGAGATGCGATGGATTACATCTTTTGCACGAAACAGTGCCGAGGAGATCCAGAGTTGATTGATCGCTTGAGAGGAGGAGCAGAGAGATTCAGAGGGTGGCAGGAGGACGGGGGGCAAAGTCGGTGACGAGGGAATGAGAGAGAGAGAGAGTGCAGTGCAGCAGCAGCTATCGAGTGTGCAGGCGGTGCAACTGCTGCGCCGAGGACCCGGGCTACGAGGGCGGTGGGGTGGGGGTGGAATATTTGTACAGCGGGGGGGTGGGGCCCACGCCCACCACGCTGCGCCACTGAGACGGAGGGGGGAAGAGAGAGGCGCAAGGGGAGAACGATTAGACGAAGAGAGGTGAGTGGAGAGAGCGAGGGAGAGAGAGCGTTGTAAGGGAGAGACAAAACATTCCCGACAGCCCAAAGCCTCCGCCGTGTTGGCACCATCACACGGCTCTCCTCTCTCTCCCCTGCCCGTGCCCTCCGTTCCAGCACTCACTCACTCGCTCACTCCCTCCCTCCCCCCTCCTGCCCTCCACTTGACCGTCGCCCTTTCTCCTCCGCTCCCCCCCCCCTAGTGTGGACCCCCCCCCCCATCCACATCCTCCCCCCCATCCACATCCCCCCCCTCCACATCCCCCCCTCCACACCTACCTCCCATCCCCCCCCCGTCCCCCTCTCTGTACCCCATTCACGCTGCCACCGACACCCGGGTTCGGGGGTTCAGGGGGATGAAGGGGGATGAAGGTGGGTGAGGGGGGTAGAGTGGGACGGGTCCTCACCCTGCATGGGTCGCTCCCTGAAGGGGTCCGTGGCCTCGTTGCGCACGCGCGCGTTGTCGTCGCAGATCGGGGGCTCATCCCTGAGAGGAAGGGGAGCGGTGGCGCGGCAGTTAGCGCGCTGTGCGAGCGGGGAGCGGTGGCGCGGCGGTTAGCGCTATGCCGCGTTACGAATCCGGCTAAACCGAGTTCGGTTCCCGCCGGCGGCCAACGCCGGTGACGATTATTTGAACCGGTCCCGGGCCTCCCCTAGGTCGACTCAGCCTCAAATGAGTAGCTGGTGCGGTGTGTGAACATCGCCACTGGGAAGACAAAGGCGGCCGGGCGTGGTGCTGGCCACCAAACCCCTCGTGTGTCGTGCCGGGTTTCACAGGCGCTGCAACTCGCAAATAGCACTTGAGTGAGTGATGGTTGTGGTGAGTAATGGGTGGTGAGTTATGGTTGTGGTGAGTGATGGTTGTGGTGAGTGATGGTTGTGGTGAGTTATGGTTGTGGTGAGTGACGGTTGTGGTGAGTGATGGTTGTGGTGAGTGATGGTTGTGGTGAGTGATGGTTGTGGTGAGTGATGGTTGTGTTGAGTGATGGTTGTGGTGAGTAATGGTTGGTGAGTGATGGTTGTGGTGAGTGATGGTTGTGGTGAGTAATGGGTGGTGAGAGATGGGTGGTGAGTAATGGGTGGTGAGAGATGGGTGGTGAGTAATGGGTGGTGAGTAATGGTTGTGGTGAGAGATGGGTGGTGAGTAATAGTTGTGGTGAGTAATGGTTGTGGTGTGTAATGGGTGGTGAGAGATGGGTGGTGAGAGATGGGTGGTGAGTAATGTGTGGTGAGTAATGGTTGTGTTGAGTAATGGGTGGTAAGTGATGATTGTGGTGAGTAATGGGCGGTGAGAGATGGGTGGTGAGTAATGGGTGGTGAGTAATGGTTGGTGAGTGATGGTTGTGGTGAGTAATGGGTGGTAAGTGATGGGTGGTGAGTAATGGTTGTGGTGAGTGATGGTTGTGGTGAGTGATAATTGTGCTGAGTGATGGTTGTGGAGAGTGACGGAGATTGACGGGCGGTGAGGAGCGGTGAGGAGTGGGTGAGGAGCTGCGTGGTCTACTCACCGCTTGGAGCTGCCCGGGATGGGTCTCCCCGAGTCCACGAACACGCACCAGCAGTAGCCCGTGGAGAGGTAGCACTGCACGGGTAGGAACAGCTGCCCACCATCGCCACACTCGGGGACGAACGAATCTTCCCCGGGACGTTTCTGTGCCAGGTCCAGGGCTGTCTTTCGCTCCAGCTCGCAGGAGGCGCCCTGCTGATGAGCATGCTGCTGCTGCTGATGATCCTGTGGCTGATGAGGATGATGTGGATGATGATGGGGGTGACTGAGAACGGAGTCTGTGGCGGTGTGTGTGTGTTGATGTGTGTGTGTGTTGATGTGTGTGTGTTGATGTGTGTGTGTGTTGATGCGTGTGTGTTGATGTGTGTGTGTGTTGATGTGTGTGTGTTGTGTGTGTGTTGATGTGTGTGTGTTTATGTGTGTTGGTGTGTGTGTGTGTTGATGTGTGTGTGTGTTTATGTGTGTGTGTTCATGTGTGTGTGTTGATGCGTGTGTTGATGTGTGTGTGTGTTGATGTGTGTGTGTGTGTGTTGATGTGTGTTGGTGTGTGTGTTGATGTGTGTGTTGGTGTGTGTTGATGGATGTGTGTGTTGATGTGTGTGTGTGTTGATGTGTGTGTGTTGATGTGTGTGTGTTGATGTGTGTGTTGAAGTGTGTGTGTTGATGTGTGTGTGTTGATGTGTGTGTTGAAGTGTGTGTGTTGATGTGTGTGTGTGTTGATGTGTGTGTTAATGTGTGTGTGTGTTGATGTGTGTTAATGTGTGTGTGTGTTGATGTGTGTGTGTGTTGATGTGTGTGTTGATGTGTGTGTGTTGTGTGACACGCATGAACGCGTACAATAAGGCAAATACATATTAATATGAACAGACACGCAACACACACAAAACATCTACACGTCAAATACACACATCTATACATACACCGAGCCACGAAGACAAAGATCCCCCGTATAGCCTTAACAGACTGTAGGAATAAGTGCTGTTAGCGAGCTCCACCCCCACACGCACACGCACCCACACACACACGTACCCACACGCGCACCCACACACACACGTACCCACACACACACGCACCCACACACACACGTACCCACACACGCGCACCCACACACGCGCACCCGCACACACGCGCACCCGCACACACACGCACCCGCACACACACGCACCCACACACACACGTACCCACACACGCGCACCCACACACGCGCACCCACACACACACGCACCCACACACACACGTACCCACACACACACGTACCCACACACGCGCACCCACACACGCGCACCCGCACACACGCGCACCCGCACACACACGCACCCGCACACACACGCACCCACCCACACACGCGCACCCACACACGCGCACCCGCACACACACGCACCCACACACACACGCACCCACACACACACGCACCCACTCACACACGCACCCACACACACACGTACCCACACACACACGTACCCACACACACACGTACCCACACGTACCCACACACACACGCATCCACACACACACGTACTCACACACACACGTACCCACACACGCACCCACACACACGTACCCACACACACACATACCCACACACACACGTACCCACACACACACACGTACCCACACACGTACCCACACGCACCCACACACACACGCACCCACACACACGTACCCACACACACACGTACCCACACACACACGCAACCACACACACACACACGTACCCACACACACACGTACCCACACACACGTACCCACACACACACACGTACCCACACACGTACCCACACACACACGCACACACACGCACGTACCCACACGCACCCACACACACACGTACCCGCACACACGCACCCACACACGCACATACCTTAAATAATACATAAATTATGATGGTGCTACAATCGCTCTTAACAGAATCTGGCGGCATCGACTGGCGCTGCGCAGAAAGTGAAAGTATTCTTCAATGTTCGATTCATGTCTTCAAATAAACATGTTGGTATGTCTCGTGTGAAACAGTCGTTATTGCCCATGTTTATGTTTACATCATTCGCTCGACTTTTATTTTTTTCCTTATGCAATTTTTCTGAACTCCCCCCCCACCCACCTTCTCCCCCCCACCCCCTCCCCCTCGCCCGGCCTTCATCCCACTCTCTTGAGTTCCTACCTGGTCACACGGAACCGACTGGCAAGCTTCAACTTACCGGTGCTCTTCACGGCCACTCCCACGCGGCCCGATCTCTTCCCAATGTTACTCTTCAGCAGCGTGGGCTCCCGAATCTCTGAACCTGATTTGGGGGGGTTGGGGGGTTGGGGAGGGGGGGGCACGGTGGTGGTGGTGGTGGTGATGAGGGGCAGCAGTGTCAAGAAGAACGCCGCTACAAATTGAACACTGAATCGTTGCAAACAGTCGCACGGCTCGTGGTTCAAATGTCAAATGTTTGGTGGCAGCAGTGTCGGCGTCGCTGTAGCGGAGGGGGGAGAAGGGAGTGGGGGGGTGGGAGGGTATAGTGGGGGGGGGCAGGTATAGTGGAATGGGGGGGGCTGAGTCATGTGACAAAACATGGCAGGGCGAGCAGCGAGATCGCTCCTCAATGCTGTGTGGACCGGAGTCCATTACACTGGTCAATAAAACAATACATTTTTTTCTGGCCTGGACTTTTGCAGCTGTTCTAGACTAATTTCAGGGTGCTGATTCCAAATCTGATCTCAGATTTCCTCTATCACATCTCATTTTTATGCTATCGGCATACCCCATTTTAATTGATTTTACCCGAAATTAACTCTGTCACTTATGATTGCAAGTTGTTGCGAGTCAGTGACTGCTTTAGTGTTAAAATATGGTGCTGTGTTTTTAGGATAGTGTGTTTATAATATAATTTTATGCAGATATCCACATTTATTTTATATTTTTCTTCCGCAGTTTTTATTGAAAATGCAATATTTGATATCTCAAAAACCTGATGTGATAGACTAAAAACTGATGCCATATTTGGAATCAGCACCCCAAAAAAGTGTGTTGTCCAGTGTTATCAGGGGGCCTCGGAAGTTGCTCGACTACATCTGCTTCCGCGGGTCGTTGTCGTGCGCGGGCGAGGGCTTCGCATTGCTCTGACGCCGATAGCACAGCAGGGAGAGATGTGGCACGTGGTGGGGGTGGTGGGGGTGTTCACGTGGTACCTGTCCTGTTCCTCTCCTCCGCAGCTCCAGCGCGGCCCGGATACCTGGGCGCACAAAGCACAAAGGTCACCCGTGTAGCCTTCAAGAGACCGTTGGGGCAAGTGCTGTTTGCGAGTAGCACCTATGAAGGCCGACGCGGCACACGAGGGGGTGGTCGACACGGCACCACGCCCGACCGACAATGTCTCCCCAAGTGATGATGTTTTTTTTAAAACACGGCAACACGTAACTATTTGAGGCCGAGTAAACCTAGGGGAAGCCCAGGAGCAGTTTAGATGTTCGCCACCGATGTGTCGCCACGAGCGGGAATCGAACCGGGGTCGTCGGGTCTGTAGTGCGGTGGTGCGCTAACCACTACGCCCACCGCTCCCTCAACTATCGGGAATCTGGGGCACGGAACCCAGTGAAACGCACCTGCAGCAGACCATGGCATAACCCTCTCGCTGACCAATGAACCACCCGCACTCAACATGACAGTCATTACCAATCCCTCCCCCGCCTCTTTCAAGACGTACAGGCCACGTGTGTGTGCGTGCGCGCGCGAACGTGACCACGCGTGCGTGCTGTGACACGTGTGCGCGTGCACACGTGAGGAGCGGTGGTGTAGTGGTTAGCGCTACGAACCTGGCGACCCGGGTTCGATTCCGGCTCACGGCCAACAACGGTGACGATTATCTGAACCGGTCTCGGGCCTCCCCTAGGTCGCCTCAGCCGCAAATGAGTACCTGGTGTAATGTATGACCATCGCAACTAGGGAGACAAAGGCGGCCGGGCGTGGTGTTGGCCACCCACCTCCTCGTGTGCCGTGCCGGCCTTTATAGGTGCTCGCTAATAGCACTTGCCCCTACAGTCTGTTAAGGCTATACGGGGGATCTTTGTCTTTTTGCGTGCACACGTGATGCAGTATGAGCCTACGGGTGAGCGTTGGTACCGTTAGTAGTGGGGCAAAGTTAATAAATGTTTTTTTTAATCATGTAAATTTGCGAGTATTTTTTTCTTAAAATTCGGACCCTTTTTCGCATGACATCACGGGTCGTCATGGGTCCACTGAGAAGCTGTGTTTTACGGTTAACACACGCGCAGTATTATCCAGGGCGGCCGCTCGAACCGAACCGCGAATCTCGGTGATCATTCATGAGAAAATTGGCGGGTCATAATGAAGAATACTGACAGAAGATGATGATGATGGACCTACCTGGTGATGTCACCATCACCATCTTGCCACACACCTGCCAGAGACACACAAGACAGACACACACTACTTAACACAGACACACACACACTACTTAACAAAGACACACACACACAATACTTAACTAAGACTAAAGATACCCGGTATAGTATTTTCAGCCTGTTTGCGACTTGTTAGAGCAGTACTCTATCCACTACACTGCTCATTACATAGACAAAGATCCCCCGTATAGCCTGAACAGACTGGTGGGGCAAGTGCTGTTAGCGAGAAGCACCTATGAAGGCCAGAACGGCGCACGAGGGGGTGGGTGGCCAGCACGACGCCCGACCGCCTTTGTCTCCCCAGTGGGGAGGCCCAGGACCGGTTCAGATAATCGTCACCGATGTTGGCCGTGAGCAGGAATCGAACTCGGGTCGCCAGGTTTGCAGTGCAGTGCGCTAACCGCTGCACTACTGCTCCCACACACACGTGTACACACACACACACGTGTACACACACGTGTACACACACACACACACAAAGCTCTCCACGTGTGTCCTACGCAGACTGGGGAATCGTTCGAGTGTGGAGTTGAGGCGCCATTCTGAATCGGGCACCCCGAGCGCTTTACCTCCAGACTCCAACAGCCGAGGCGCATGGACGAGCGGATCCAGGATCGATTCTGCGTGACAGCCACCATCAGCACCATCATTATCATCACCACCATCATTAGCACCATCATCATCACCATCATTATTAGCATCATCATCATCAGCACCATCACCACCATTATTAGCACCATCATCATCACCATCATTATTAGTATCATCATCAGCACCATCATCACCAACCATCATTAGCACCATCGTCAACACCACCATCAGCATCATCGTCAGCACCATCATTAGCACCATTGTCAGTACCATCATCATCATCAACAACATAATACGTACACACACACAATGGAGAGATATTTTATAACCAGCTTACGGCCCAATGAGAAGACGATAATCGAAATGATGGTGGTGATGGTGAATGTAGTGATTCGAGGTCACATGGCCCAGCGGTAGCGCGTTTCCCGCTTTGCTGCCGAGATTCACGGTTCGCTTCCAAGCGGCTGCCCTGTTTAATACTGCGGTTAAGTTATAACTGCAAACAATTCGACTACTAAGTACGTGCCATCCGCTTCACTCACAGCAGACGCGAACGATTCCGTGGCATCGTTCGCAAGAGCAGCGGGACGTCACGGGTCCAATTTTTTTTTACCAAATTAGAAAACAAACCGCCCCGCTAAATGACTCTAATGGTATCTACGTAACAAACAATCGTCGCGCCCCGACTGCGAAAACTTGTCAGGACCCTCCTGTCAAGAGTGTCTCGAGACTCTGTAGTATTCTGCTGCTGCTGATGATGATTATCCTGCTGCTGATGATGATGGTTATCCTGCTGATGATGATGCTGAAGATGATGATTATCCTGCTGCTGATGATGATGATTATCCTGCTGATGGTGATGCTGCTGAAGATGATGATTATCCTGCTGCTGATGATGATGATGATGATTATTATCTTGCTGCTGATGATGATGCTGATGATGATGCTGATGATGATGATTATCCTGCTGATGATGCTGATGATGCTGATGATGGAGCTCACTCTCATTGGCCTTGCCGTGAGTGTTGGTCCGGATTCGCTGCGGGGCTCCTCCTGTGGGCACAGAGCACGGTCGCAATCCCCTTGAGCCCCCGTGCCCCCCATGTCCCCCGTGTCCCCCAGTGAACCCCAGTCAGTATCCCCACGGCCCCCTACCCGACACCCCCATTCCTCTGTACCCCTATACCACCCCGGGCCACTATGTCCCCATATCTCAATGCTCGCGTGCACTCGTGACTCCAGACCCCCCGATGGCACCCTACGCCCCCGCTACCCGCTCATTGCGTGCCTCCCATGCCCGCCGTGCCCCCGTGACCCGCATGCTTCCGTGCCCCTTATGTCCCCATGTCCACCGTGTCACCGTGCCCATCGTGCTCTCAAGCTCCCCATGCCCATCGTGTCCCCGTGCCCTCCATACCCTCTGTTGTCCCTATTCACCCCATGCCCACCATGCCCCCCATTCCCACTGTGCCCCCCCCTTGCTCCCCCACGCCCTCACCCGTGCACTGCGGGGTGCTGGCCTCCACGGAGGATCCGCTGATGGGGCGCCCCTGGGGTGTCACGCACCAGCAGTAGCGAGTCAGGTTGTGACACTGAACCTGTGGGGGAGGGGGGGGGGTAGTGAGTCAGGTTGTGACACTGAACCTGTCGGGGGGGGTTGCAAGGTCAGCGTGAATGGTTTTGCTGGCAGAGCCGTCCCTAGGGCACGGCGAATCGGGGCGAACGCCCGGGGCCCCGCGCTTTGGGGGGGGGGGCGCCCTTCCACGTCGCGGCGTCGTACGTGATCATAATCATTCCGGTTTGGGAGTGAGCTGCTCCGGGCCTCTAGGGACGGCCATGCCTGGGGGAGGGGGGAGGGGCATGGATGCCCGAAGCCACCCTTTTCCATCAACTCCACGTGCGTGGCTTTGTGGTGATGATGATGTGCATGATGACGGCCGTGATGATGATGGTGTTTGCGATGACGATGACGCCGACGTTGCTGCTGATGGTGACGATGCTAATGTTGCTGCTATGACTGATGACGATGATGATGCTGCTGATGCTGTTGATAATGATGCTGATATTGATGGTGCCGATGATGATGCTAATGCTGCAGCTATTACTGGTGCTGCTGATGATGCTGTAGATAATGATGTTGCTGTTGCCGATGATACTAATATTGATGGTTATGATGATGACGCTAATGGTGATGATGCTGATGATGGTGATGCTGCTGCTGATGCTGCTGATAATGATATTGTTACTACTGCTGAAGATGATACAGATATTTATGCTAATGATGATTATGGTGATGATGCTGATATTTATGCTCACGATGATGATGGTTATGATGATGATGCTGATGATGATGCTGATGATGCTGCTGATAATGATGTTGTTGCTACTGCTGATGATGATACGGATATGTATGCTGATGATGATGATGGTGATGATGATGCTGATATTTATGCTCACGATGATGATGGTTATGATGATGATGATGCTGATGATGATGCTGCTGCTGCTGATGATGATGGTGATGCTGATGATGATGATGCTGATATTTCTGCTGATGATCCTGATATTCATGCTAACGATGATAATGGTTATGATGCTGCTGCTGATGATGATGCTGCTGCTGATGCCACGTGCCTGCGAGTAGCTCCCGTCCGCGTTGCACTCCGGGATGAAGACGGCGCGGGTCTCACGCCTTGCCTGCTTCTGCGCGTGCGAGCGCTCGGCCTGGCACCGCGACATCTCTACACACACACACCAAAGACAAAGGCCCCCCGTGTAGCCTTCAACAGACTCTCGGGGCAAGGGCTGTTCGCGAGTCGCACCTACGGAGGCCGGCACGGCGCACGAGGTGGTGGGAGGCCAGCACCACGCCCGGTTCGTCTTTGTCTCCCCAGTGGCGATGTTTACACACCGCACCAGGTACTTATTTGAGGCCGAGTCGACCTAGAAGAGGCTCAGGACCGGTTCGGTTCAGATAATCGTCACCGGTGTTGGCCGCGTGCGGGAAATCGAACCCGGGTCGTCGGGTTCGTAGCGCAGCGCGCTAACGCTACATTACCGCTCCCCACACACACACGTGCGTAAACACACACACACACACACGTGTGTAAACACACACACACGTGTGTACACTCATACACACGTGTGTACACACACACACGTACACACACGTGCGTAAACACACACACACACGTGTGTACACACACACACACGTGCGTAAACACACACACACACGTGCGTACACACACACGTGTGTACACTCACACACGTACACACACGTGCGTAAACACACACACACGTGCGTACACACACACACACGTGCGTACACACACACACAGTGCGTACACACTCACACACGTGTGTACACACTCACACACGTGTGTACACACAGACACACGTGTATACACCCTCACACACGTACACACGTACACACACACACGTACACACACGTACATACTTGTGTACAGATACACTCACACACGTGTGCACACACACACACGTACACACACACACTCACACACGTGTGTACAGACACACACACGTGTGTACACACACACACTCACACACGTGTGTACGCACCCTTGCACCGGCCCCGGTGCGCCACGCCGAGGAGGGGGTCCTTGCACCGCGCGCGCCGCAGGTCGCAGTGCGAGGCGAAGGTTCGCCCGTCGGACGCGCAGAGCGGGCGGCGCGTGACGCCCGCGGCCTGGGAGGGGCACTCGAGCCGCAGACACTCTCGCTCCGACTTCTGCTCCCCAATCAACATCTACACACGAAGGGGGGGGGGATAGAGTCGTCCATTCGTTCATTCGTTCGTTCAGTCGTTCGTTCATTCACTCGAGCCGGAGGCACGCCCGCTCCGACTTCTGCTCCCCAATCAACATCTACACACGGGGGGGGGGGGGGGGGGGTAGAGTCATCCATTCGTTCGTTCAGTCGTTCGTTCATTCACTCGAGCCGCAGACACTCTCGCTCCGACTTCTGCTCCCCAATCAACATCTACACACGAAGGGGGGGGGGTAGAGTCGTTCATTCATTCGTTCGTTCATTCATTCGTTCGTTCATTCACTCGAGCCGGAGGCACGTCCGCTCCGACTTCTGCTCCCCAATCAACATCTACACACGGGGAGGTAGAGTCGTTCATTCGTTCATGCATTCATTCGTTCGTTCATTCACTCGAGACTGAGACACTCTCGCTCCGACTTCTGCTCCCCTATCAACATCTACACACGGGGGTAGAGTCGTTCATTCATTCATTTATTCATTCACTCGAGCCGCAGACACTCCCGCTCCGACTTCTGCTCCCCTATCAACATCTACACACGGGGGTAGAGTCGTTCATTCATTCATTCGTTCATTCACTCGAGCCGGAGGCACGCCCGCTCCGACTTCTGCTCCCCAATCAACATCTACACACGGGGGGTAGAGTCGTTCATTCGTTCATTCATTCGTTCGTTCATTCACTCGAGCCGGAGACACTCCCTCTCTGCATTCTGCTCCCCAATCAACATCTACACATGGGGGGTAGAGTCGTTCATTCATTCATTCATTCGTTCATTTATTTATTCACTCGAGCCGGAGACACGCCCGCTCCGACTTCTGCTCCCCAATCAACATCTACACACGGGGAGTAGAGTCCTTCATTCATTCATTCGTTCGTTCGTTCATTCACTCGAGACGGAGACACTCTCGCTCCGCCTTCTGCTCCCCAATCAACATCTACACACGGGGGTAGAGTCGTTCATTCATTTGTTCGTTCGTTCATTCACTCGAGCCTGAAACACTCCCGCTCCGACTTCTGCTCCCCAATCAACATCTACACACGGGGGGGGGGGTAGAGTCGTTTATTCCTTCATTCAGTCGTTCGTTCGTTCATTCACTCGAGCCTGAGACACTCCCTCTCTGCATTCTGCTACCCGATCAACATCTACACAAAGGGGGGGGGGGGGTCATACGCTCATTTGGATTAATTCGTTCACAAAATCATTCGTTAATTTAATTAAATGAACGCGTTCATGTTTGCGTCAAATCGTATCCGAGACAGTCATTCCGCCTTCTGTTTCTCTTCACGGTCATTCGTTCATTGAGAAATGTATTTCGTTTTCATTCAGTCATTCACTCGTTTTTTCATACCCCGTCTTTGGCAATTAATTAATGAATTGCTTCGTTCATCCATGCTTGAGTCGCGCCCGCTTCGCTTTGATGACACGGGGAACGTGAGTTAATGGTTTCATTCACTCGTCATGTTTCGTTCCATTCACGCGTGCATTCGTTCACTCGTGCGTGGGGCCACTCCGCTTATTATATTTTCGGACAGTGGGGTGGGGGGGCGGGGCGCGAATGGGGGGGGGGGGGGCGGACAAGGAGTTAGACAGCGTTCATTAATGAATTATCTAGTGAACTCATTCATTCGAGTTTCGTTCATCCGCGTCTGTGACACGGTCGTATGCTCGTCCATCGACATTTAAATGCTGGAGGGGGGGGGGGGGGGCACACGGCGAGGCGCTACGCATTGTCATTCGTTATTTCATTGAGTAACTCATTAATTCATTCACTCGCTGAAGCTCTCGGCATTGCCATTGAGCAAATCTGCTCCCAAGCAGACATCAACTGGCAGTAAAGACACAATTCGTCCATTCACTGACTCATTCGTCCATTTGCTCGTTTGGTTCCCCATTCATACGACGCGGCTGGACGAGACTTGAAGTCATTTGAGAGCACAAATTCACCGATCATTCGCTGGTTCGTAAACAAAATATCTCGCGGTAACCTGCGGCCAGGCACGCGAGCAAGTGAATCACAACCACGACCATCATCGTCATCATTAGCATGGTCATCAACATCATCACAACCACAACCATCATCATTAGCATGGTCATCATCATCATCACAACCACGACCATCATCATTAGCATGGTCATCATCATCATCACGACCATCATCATCATTAGCCTGGTCATCATCAAACACAAATATCCCCCGTGTAGTCTTTAAAGACTATCGGGGCAAGTGCTGTTAGCGAGCACCTACGAAGTCCAGCACGGTACACGACGGGGTGGGTGGCCAGCACCACGCCCGGCCGCCTTTGTCTCCCCAGTGGCGATGTTCACACACTGCCTCCCCTAAGTCTATTCATTTGAGGCTGAGTAGACTTAGGGGAGGCCCAGGACCGGTTCAGATAATCGTCACCGGTGTTGGCCGTGAGCGGGATATCGATCTCGGGTCGCCGGGTTCGTAGCGCAGCGTCGCGCTAACCACAACACCACCGCTCCCCACAATCATCACCACAACCAGTGCCGGATTATCCTCGTAGCTAAAGTAGCTAGAAATGTAGCTACGGGCCCCGCACTTTCAAGGGCCCCGCGCTAAATTATTTCAAGCTATCAACTCCGTTTCAGTGATTCTGCACTGGCTCTATTACTATAGTACTATACCGCCTTCAACTTTTATGAACTACTGGGTGTTTAAGGTTATCGATTTGTCGTATTATCTGGCTGTATAGCAAATGAGAAAATACAATGACTTTGCTATGCAAGTAAAACATTTGTGTTTTAATATTTGCGTGTTATTATTTATTTTAGGGCCCCTTCATAACATATGCTACAGGCCCCGCACTAGCTTAATCCGGCACCGATGACAACCACGACCACCATCATTGATACAATTAACAGGGTCTTCGTATCCGATTGTGAGAAACGTATGCAGCATCATCATCACTCAAGCGCATTGAACTACGAACCCCCAGACATAAGTTCTATTCACGGCAACGGCTAACATCAGTGGCGAGAGGACATCTAAACCAGCCCTGTGCAACTCCGCTCCCATCCCCCACCAATCTCCTTTTCTAACGCGCACTGACCAGCGTGGTGCAGTATGGTCAATCACACCCCCCCCCCTTCCCCATACCAATCGGTTGACAAAGGGATGTCCTTTGTAATAAAATAATTTGTTCACTGATTTATTAAACAATTTTTTTTCAACAATTAGTTTTTTTATTTTACCAGGTTAGGCCCACTGAGGTGTATAGCTCTTTTTCAGAAGCGACCTGGCCACAAATCATAGCTCAACGAAGCGGCTGCTAATGTTGAAATGTATCGCAGCCAGAGACTCTAAACGAGTGGTGACTTTGATTCGAACCGTGGATGGAAAAAACAGGAGGACCCGGAGAAAAATCCACGCGACCACGGGGAGAGAGAGAGACGCGCAAACTTCAAATATACAGCAGCAGGCGTCAGTGTGGGAGATCGAACCGACGACCTCCTGTAGACCAGGCGAGGTAGTTAACATCTCCTAGCCACCGTGATGATGATGAGAGAGAGAGAGACACGCAAATTCCAAATATACAGCAGCAGGCGTCAGTGTGGGGGATCGAACCCACGACCTCCTGTGTACCGGGCGAGGTAGTTAACATCTCCTAGCCACCGTGGTGATGATGAGAGAGAGAGAGACACGCAAACTTCAAATATACAGCAGCAGGCGTCAGGGTGGGGGATCGAACCCACGACCTCCTGTATACCAGGCGAGGTAGTCAACATCTCTTAGCCACCGTTGTGATGAGAGAGAGAGACACGCAAACTCCAAATATACAGCAGCAGGCGTCAGTGTGAGGGATCGAACCCACGACCTCCTGTATACCAGGCGAGGTAGTCAACATCTCCTAGCCACCGTGATGATGATGAGAGAGAGAGAGACACGCAAACTCCAAATATACAGCAGCAGGCGTCAGTGTGAGGGATCGAACCCACGACCTCCTGTATACCAGGCGAGGTAGTCAACATCTTCTAGCCACCGTGATGCATCAATTCGTTCGCGTTCTTTGTCAGCTCTGTGCTCCCCCTGTGGGTATCTATGGTCAATACGGGGTGGGGGGGGGGGTCACGAGGAGGGGCAGCGTCATTTAACGCATTCATTCGTGCGTCCATTCATTCCGTTACGAGAAGCGAGGCGAAAGCGGAGCGAAGCGCTTCATTCATGTATGCATCGTTTGCGCATTAACTCGTCCATTCAATCAGTCACGCGAAGCGAGGGCATTGTGCAAAGCCGCTACATCGGCTGATGATGCTGCTGCTGCTGCTGATGATGATCGGCACTTTCAATGTTGATGCTGCTGCTACAGATTCTGTTGCTATTGATGATGTGGGGTTCCAATGTTCTCTGCTGTCATTGATGATGGGAATGTTGCTGCTGCTGATGATGCTGTTGCTGATGCTGTTGTTACTGATGATGATGCTGTTAATGATGATTCTGCTCTTGCTGATGATCATGCTGTTGCTGATGATGATGCTGTTGTTGATGATGATGCTGTTGCTGATTATGATGCTGTTGCTGATTATGATGCTGTTGTTGATGATGCTGTTGTTGATGATGATGCTGTTGCTGATGATGTTGCTGCTGCTGATGATGCTGTTGTTGATGATGCTGTTGTTGATGATCATGCTGTTGCTGATGATGCTATTGCTGCTGATGATGATCATGCTGTTGCTGATTATGATGCTGTTGTTGATGATGCTGTTGATGATGCTGTTGCTGCTGATGATGATCATGCTGTTGCTGATGATGATGCTGTTACTGATGATGATGCTGCTGATGATGATGTCCGCTCACCATGAGCCCGTCTCGTTGCGCCGCGACAAGCCTCAAGAAGAAGCAGAGCGCGGCCCAGACTCCGAGCGCCACCACCCCGCCTCCAACCTCCATCCTCCTCCTCCTCGCGTCCCTCCTCTTCCACGTGTCCCTCTCTCCACGTGTCACTCTCTCCACGTGTCCCTCTCTCCACGTGTCCCTCTCTCTCCACGTGCCCCCCCCCTCTCCACGTGTCCCCCTCTCCACGTGTGTCCCTCTCCACGTGTGTCCCTCTCCACGTGTCTCTCTCCCAGAGTTCCTCTCCCCGTGTCCCCCTCTCTCTCCGCGTCACTCTCTCCCCGTGTCTCTCTCCCCGTGTCACCCTCTCCGTGTCACTCTCTCCCCGTGTCTCTCTCTCCGTGTCACTCTCTCCCCGTGTCCCTCTCTCCCCGTGTCCCTCTCTCCACGTGTCCCCCTCTCCGTGTCACTCTCTCCCCGTGTCCCTCTCTCCGCGTGTCCCTCTCTCCGTGTCACTCTCTCCCCGTGTCCCTCTCTCCACGTGTCCCCCTCTCCGTGTCACTCTCTCCCCGTGTCACTCTCTCCACGTGTCCCTCTCCACGTGTCACTCTCTCCCCGTGTCACCCTCTCTCCCCGTGTCCCTCTCCCCGTGTCACTCTCTCCCCGTGTCACCCTCTCCCCGTGTCACCCTCTCCACGTGTCCCCCTCTCCACGTGTCCCCCTCTCCACGTGTCCCCCTCTCCTAGAATTCCTCTCCCCGTGTCCCCCTCTCTCTCCGCGTCACTCTCCCCAAGTCACTCTCTCCCCGTGTCCCTCTCTCTCCCCAAGTCACTCCCTTCCCGTTCCCCTCTCTCCGCGTCACTCTCCCCGTGTCACCCTCTCCCCGTGTCACCCTCTCTCCAGCGTCCCTCTCTCCCCGTGTCTCTCTCTCCCCGTGTCACCCTCTCCCCGTGCCACTCTCTCCCCGTGACACCCTCTCTCCCCGTGTCTCTCTCCCCGTGTCTCTCTCTCCGTGTCACCCTCTCTCCAGCGTCCCTTTCTCCACGTGTCTCTCTCTCCCCGTGTTTCTCTCTCCCCGTGTCACCTTCTCCCCGTGTCACCCTCTCTCCCCGTGTCTCCCTCCCCGTGTCTCTCTCTCCGTGTCACCCTCTCTCCAGCGTCCCTCTCTCCACGTGTCCCTCTCTCCCGGTGTCACCCTCTCCCCGTGTCACCCTCTCTCCGCGTGTCCCTCTCTCCCCGTGTCCCTCTCCCCGTGTCACCCTCTCTCCCGGTCTCTCTCCCCCCGTGTCCCTCTCTCCCCGTGTCTCTCCCCGTATCTTCCGCGGTGACACCCTCCACGGCAGCCCCCCCCCCCCCCCCGGTCGTCTCTCCTCGTGATGACGACGATGCTGCTGCTGCTGGTGGTTGTCCCGGTAGAGTTTCTCAGCGACCTTCTCGTCAGTCCAGCTGGTGCCTCCTATCGCCGCCCCCCCCCCCCCCCGCTAGCTCCGCCGGTAGCCTCCCTGGTAGCTCCCCTCCACGGCTCTTGGAAGTCCGCTCGGTTGCTCACTCGGAGGATCCCGTCGGCTGCTCACTCGATGTTAGTCCCCTCGGAGCTTCCGAGACAATTCCACGGCAGGCTCCGCTCTGTCGCTCGCTCCCCGGCGGCTCTGCGGGCTCCCTGCGGGCTCCCCAGTGGCTCCTTGCTGACTCTCGTGGCTCTCTGCCTGCTCCCTGCCGACTCCCTGCTGCCTCTTCGGCGGCGTGGGGGCTCCACAGGGAGAGAGCCGCACTCACCTCGCTCCCGAGGAGGCTCCTTGCAAGTTCGAGTGAAGATCCCTCTCCTCTCTTTCTCGGCCTCTTAACCCTTTCCCCTCCTCTCGTTCAGTCGCTCGCCTCTCGATTCTCTCTCCCTTCCTCTCCGATCTCCCTTCGCTCGCCCCCCCCTCTCTCTTCTCCGCTGTCTGCGAGCTCCGCTCTCTCCTCTCCTTCCTTTCTCTGCGATCTTCCCCTACTCTACACGCTCCGATTCGCCTCGCCGCTCCTGATCTCTGCTCTCCACTAACGGCTCCCCCACCTCCCCCACCCCTCCTCTCTCTCTACGATTTCTCGTCCGGGAGTCGCTTTTGGTCAAGCGGCTCCGACTCGCTCGTCGCCTGATTCTGCGGAATCATCGCCGCCGGGGTTGACTGGTGATGCTAATTAATCATTGTAATTAATGACGGCATATTGATGATGATGGTGATGATTGAAGGTGGTGGTGAGATGATGGTGACCGAGGAGGCTCATTCACGGCGAAGATCGGAGCGCTGCCGCGCTGCAGTTGTGATGAGTGCGATGGTCCCAAGTGCCGTACCACCCTATCACACTCACCACCCTCCCCCCCACTCCCTCCCCCACCATCTCACCCTCCCCCCATCCCACTCTCTCTCTGTCTACACCCTCTGCCACTCCTCACTCTCCCCCTCTCTCTCTACATCCCCCCCCCTCTCTACACCCTCTCTCTCTACATCCCCCCCCCTCTCTACACCCTCTCCCCACCCTCCCACTCCCCCCCTCTCTCTCTACACCCTCTCCCAACCCCCCCTCTCTACACCCCCCCCTCTCTACACGCCCCCCCCTCTCTACACCCTCTCCCACTCCCCCCACCCTCACCCCCCTCTACACCCCCTCCCACTCTCCCCACCCTCCCACTCCCCCCATCTACACCCTCTCACCCCCCCCCCTCTCTCTCTACACCCTCTCCCACTCTCCCCACCCTCCCACTCACTCTCGCTACACTTTCTCCAACTCTCCCCACCCTCCCTCCGACCTATCCACCCTCCCACCCACTCGCTTACTCTCCCACTTGCCCAGAATCCCCCCACTCATTACGAACTAATCCGCACTCTCTCCGCACTCCGCCACACTAAAACCCACCCCACTCTATGTACTCTCCCACTCGATCACCACCCACGCACACTCTCAACACCCCCTTACACTAACACACACATCTACTCTCCTAGCAGCACACAGCTTAGCCGATACCAGCCCCCAGCCCCACTCTCTGTCCACATACTCTATCAAACACCCGCTGTATCACCCACATTCCCACTCAACACCCACGCATCATATAACCCACTATATCACCCAACCTGCTCTATCACGCACTCTCTCACCCATTATATCACCTACCCAATATGTGCATCAATCACACACCCACTATATCATCCACCCGGTCTCTATAACATTGCTTATAACTGCTTGCAATATATATAAAAAAAAGATTATTGCTGTTGTAATAGGTTTTTACCCTTTCAACTGGTACAAAAACTGACACCTTTATACAAGGCATCATGTTTTCAATAACCACAACACAAGCAGTCAAAATGCAAACAAAAAGAAACAACTCTGATAATGATATGCACTGTCCTTGAAGTTGATTGTTCCACACCCGAGACAGCTTTTCTTAGAGCCTAGTCTCCATTGGTGTTGCTTTTGCCAATTCAGTGACCCCGATCACTGTTGGGAATGAGACTTCAGGCTCCTCCTGCAAGTATCTTGCATTCTCAGCTGCTTCAGCAAAGCACACGCGAAACTTAAATCACCACGCACCTCTCTGCAGCATCCGCCCTGAACGCAAAGCAGGGCGAGACCATTTAAGGGATCACCCAACTATTAGGTAATCATAATTATAGAGCACTTTGCGCTCGGTCGATAAAAATGCGGGCGAATACCTGCGCACACGTGGCAATGCAGAGACCAAATCGACACTTGATTCTCGGTCCGCCTGGGTCTGTCATCAGAACTGTGCAGTGCCAGACGAGCCGACTGCAACACAGCAGGAACGGCGGTGAGCGGATCTCGGTAACCAAAAAACAATTGCTGCCTTTTCGAACACAAAAGGCACATTTCCAACACAAAAGGCACCTTTTCAACGTGTCCCCGGGTGACACCCGGAGAGGTGGCAACTCGCGCCTCCGCCCTCTGAACCTCGACATTCTTCAACGCGTCCGCCGTGGGGTGGCTGACGAGGATATCGGTTCGAGATCCGAGCGGGGCCCACGTGTCCACGTATATATTTATTATTATTATTCTGATAACGTGTTTATCCCAGGCTTGGCCGAGTCTTAGCAGTCTGTTTTAGTTGCGTCTTACCATTTTTTTTGGTTGCAGGAGGAGGCGCTGTTGTGTACATAATCCCAAAATAAATATTGCAGGTAAGATTTCGGCAGCGGCATATGCAGCCAGTGCCAGTTGCTGTCAAATTTTTTGTTTAGCCATGGAAGGAAACCAGCTAAAAACTCGCGGAGGGAACCCATTCCGAACAAGGCGAGTGCACAAACTCCACGAACAGGGCGAGAGTACACAAACAGCACGTACAAGGCACCCGAGTCGAGTGTCGAACCACCGGGGCTCTTCTTGTTGCAAGGCGCAAAACTTTTCACCACTGCGGCGCCACCACATTGTCTCGGCTGTGATTGTCGCGAATAAGATGTTTCCGCAAAGTAATACGCAACATCTTAGATTTTTTCGGTAAAGTCACGTAGGTAAAAAATAATAATAATAATAAAAGATAAATAATACAAAATAATACAAGAAAAAATAGAACTAAAATAATAAATCACGACGTTTCGGAGGCAACACAATAATTCCGTATTCAGGTGGAATCGTCACAACACGATTGCTGTTTCAAGCAATCGTCACAGCACGATTGCTGCATCAAGCAATCGTCACAGCACGATGGCTGTATCAAGCAATCGTGCTGTGACGATTCCACCTGAAGACGGAAGCTTGTGTTGCCTCCGAAACGTCGTGATTTATTATTTTAGTTCTATTATTTCTTCTATTATTTTTATTATTTATCTTTTTTTTTACCTACGTGACTTTACCGAAAAAACCTAAGAGTATGAATCATTGCAGTCACGAAAGCTTAAAATCTCCACCAGCAACTTTTGATATAATATACGTCTTATGTGTAATCAGGTTTGTGCTGGAGGACATCACGCAAGCGCTTCTGCTTTGGGAACGTACGCGCGTCGCGTAAGGAATTAAGTTGCCAACGTTTGAGCCGCGCATTTTTATAAAAAAAACACCACCCCCCCGCTGTCCAATTACAATTCATTTTGAGTTGTTTCACACGTGGCCACGTGTCGCCCTCTCGCGTCCGACAACGTCCACAGCGAACACACGACACAAAAAATCCTTGCGATCAATCAGCCGAGATCCGTTTCACTTTTCTCTAACTCGACTGCAACCCCTCCCACCCCTCCCGATACGTTCCATTCATTGCCTACCACATTCTGATTAGCTCCCTCCCCCCACCTCTCCTCCCCTTTAACTTGTATTTAAGGGCTTGCATCTTGAATCCCTGCCTCACTTGATGCAGCAAATCTGGCTGTGACGGTCCCACCTGATGACGGAGACTTGTGTTGCCTCCAAAACGTCGTGATTTTATTATTTTTTATTAATTTTCCTTAATTTTTTTACCTACGTGACTTTACCGAAAGAACTAAGAGTATGATTTTGAAAGGAATTTGCCCCAGCGAACTTTCACGACGGGAAATATATTTTCTGGAATATTGAGCTAAGTCTGCGCAGTGTTTACATTAGGGCCGGCCCAGGACACGCTCGGCTGCCCTGGGAACGCCTGGGAAATCCCCAGGAAGATCTCGACTGTGCAACAGTGACGTGCGGCAAGGTCAATGGCTGGGGAGGCACTGGATAGTGTCAGAGCCAGATTCACACACCGAGGGGGGCGTGTCCTCACTGAGGGGGGCGTATTAGACACGCCCCCCTCAGTGAGGCAGATGTGATAGCTGCCTCCCCTGGTGCTTTTTCATTGCAGTTTCATGACGAGACCAGCGAGCCAAATATCTTTATACATATACGTGAAGTAAGTTACCTGGAGTATGGAAGGCGAGGACATGAAATGAAGGGGTCTACAAACATTACATTGGTGACATACTGAGATAGTAACAGGCACGCGCTTATTGCCCGCGCTCCATCCAGCTACTGAGGGGTTGCGCAATCAGAGGGGAGGCTGAGCTCGCCGCTGCCTCACCTCTCGTCTCTTCCTGTATTTGCAGCGGAGCTCCGCAAATTTGGCGATTTTTACGATAAAAATTATTTGAATCGTACAGAAATTACATTTATAACACAGATCAGTGGAACATTTTAATGTTTCTTTAATTTGATTATTCTTCTTTTCAACTTTTCGTAACAGCTATTTTCATTGGAGTATGACAGGTGAGGCTCTGCCTCCCCTGACCGCACGTCCCTGCCGTGGATAGTAATGTAGTGTACAGTGTAGTAATGTATAGTGTAGTGTATAGTAATGTTGTGTAGTGTACAGTAATGCTGTGTTGTCGTGTATGGTGTAGTAATGTAGTGTAGTAGTGTATAGTGTAGAAGTGCTGGAGTCAAGTAAAGGAACGTCTGGACCACCACTACTCAACATGATGCTGCCACGACCCTCACCAGGAAAAGCGGATTGAGACACGAACGGACGCTAGTTGTTTTGTGGCTCCAGTTTCTATTGGCTTCACCATTATACTTTAGTTTCATTACCTTTTCAGGTTTGGGCGAATCCAGGTCAATAACTCTTGCAAGAGAGCCAACCCCTGCTCGCTCTGGAATTCTTCACCCCAATTTAATTTAGTTGTTTTATTTTATTTTGTTTTCACCCACGTGACTTTACCGAAAAAACCAAAGAGTATGGATCCGTGTAGTAACGAAAACTTCAAATCTAGAAGACGTATCCAATAACACCCTGCACACAATGCACAACGTAAAATTTGCTGGACATTTGCACCGAGTAAGTTTCACATTCTTTATTTAGATGTACCACCGCGATATAAGCATCGTGTCCAAAATGTACATTTCTCAATATAAAATCTGCACGCGTTAAGCACAAGCAACGATCATCACGCCGTCACGTAACTCGACTGCTTTATCCGACGCGTAACGACGACGACGTTAGATCGTGGGATATCCTGCGACGATCGCCAACTCGACATTTTCCAGCAGTGTTTTCCGTACGCGCCTTTGTGATGGCGATGCCAAGGAGCCACGGGAACGCATCTGTGCGGATCTTTGAGTGAATCCCCTTTGTATGCACCGTGGCTCTCGGAAGGTGACGGGAGTACGATGGCCGCGAGACTCTCAGAAGGCGACCGTGCGCTTCACGCCGCTCCACTTGGACCGGCCGAGCCCGTGCGCCCTCTTCACGTCGTTCCAGTCGGGCGGCACGAGCGACACGGCGTCCTCCTCCAGGGGCGTGGTGGACACGGGCGTGCGGGGCGACGCCACCACCACGGGCAGCGGCCCCGTCTCGTCGCGGAGCTCCACCACGTGCAGGCCACTGCGGTCGGCGGCCTGCTGGTGCGTCTCCTGCACGGGGGCACACCGCGTATCGTCGTCGGAGTCGTCACCGTCAATACATACATTTTCACGTGAAAAGCCACCACCACCGTCCCCAATTTCCACGACCACCATCCCCAATTTCCACGACCACCATCTCCAACGCAACAACTATCACCATCATCGCTGCCACACCCACCACAATCGCTACCACCACCGCCTCCGATACCACAATGGCCGCCACCAGCACCGCTTGCCATCGTCGCCCCACACCGTCACGGCGCAGTGCTCCCACCTGCGTGGTGAGGCCCAGGAAGAAGGCCTTGGTCATGTTGATGAGGTTGACGGAGCCGGTGACCTTGGCGTACATGTCCTCGATGCCGATGAGGCGGCACATGGTGATGATGGCGCGGTGGCAGTGCAGCCCTTGGCCTGCTCGACCGGGAGAATGGGTACGCGTCACAGCCAACGTCGACAGCTGATAGCTCCCCCCCCACAACTACCTTGAGTTTACCCGTGCCGCTCACTCCGCCCCGTTACGCGCGCACAGCAGCCGATGCACTTCGGGATGAGGCTGTCCCTCCATGCCGTGCTGCGGCTCCGAGAGGTTACTGGACCAGCATAGAATTACAACACGGCACTGACCTCTGCTGCCTGTAACGTAGGCCCCGTAGCAGCCTACGACAACCTGCTAGGCATGGTGGTCACCCGTGCAAGCAGTGTTCAGGATCAATCCTGGTTTGGGATTTGGTCACGGATCTAACGAGATTGGAGTGCATTCCGGGTGATTTGGTCATTGGTTATTTTGATAATTAATCTCCTACAATACAATACCCTTCTCCCATTCACAGATAAAGACAAAGATCCCCCGTATAGCCTGAACAGACTGCTGGGGAAAGTGCTCTCAGCGAGCAATACCTATGAAGGCCGGAACATCACATGAGGGCGTGGGTGGCCAGCACCATGCCTGACCGTCTTTGTCTCCCGTGTGGCAATATTTATTACACACCGCACCAGCTACACAATTAAGGCTGAGTCGACCTAGGCGAGGCCCAGGACCAATTCAGATAAGTCAGTGGTGTTGGTGGCCGTGAGTGGGAATTGAACTCGTGTCTCTGCTGGGTTCGTAGCGCAGCGCACTAACCACTGCTCCACCGCTCCCCACTAACATTCACAGACACACACACAAAAATGTACGCGCACACAGGAATCAGTGTCGTACCGCGCGGCATCTTCTTCACCGTGATGGCCGTGTGACGGTACGTCGTGTTGAAGTTTTCGTAAACTGCAGCACAGACGGACGGGTCAAACGCTCGACTCAAAACGACAACAACGACGACATCACCACCACCACCACAACATGAAGCCATCAACTTGCACAACGAGGCAGCGACCTGCACCGGCTGCGACGGTTGGCAGCGTGTGAACAAGAGAAAAATATCATGCCGCGGAGCGTGGCGCTACGCAGTAACGCTATGCAACACGTTAGGCTGCGGTGAAACCACGGTGGGGGGTGGGGGGGGGAAGCTTTGGATAGGGAGGACACGGGCAAAGCTTTTTTATTAACATGGCTGGTATCCTTCAGGGCGAGTCCCGAACAACGACGCAGCTTTCCGCCGCTAAAGTTCTGTTCATACTTGACCACCTTCCACGTGCCCCTTTGCTAGTGTTGAAAACAAAACCGAAGAAACGAACGGCTCTTATCTTGTACAGGTAATTATGTTTGGGTGAGAGACTTGCCAGGGAATACCAGGTGTTATAGACTTGGGGCTCTGACGTGGCATTCGGGCAATAGACTCACAAATCCATCTGTGCAAAAACTCTACCCCCCTCGTGCGAGCGGGTTTTCTCTGGCTACCCCCTGTTTTTCTACCACGTGTCAAAAATACTAGTTGGTGAAAATTGGCCAAACATCCTCAATGGCAGGACTCTATTGAAATAAAAGTCTTGGGACTCGGGAGAGGTGTTTCCAGATAAATGAAGGCATTATTAATTATTTTCGATACACACCGAGGCTGTGGGTGTGTTGTGATGTCTGACAATAGTTTTCGATGCTTCACCAATTAGAAAACTCGCTTAAAGCGCCTTAAACGTAGCATCCAAAATCGTGGCACTGTCCAGCTGCTTGTAGCTGGGGTAGCGTTGTTCTCTTGACGAGCGCCTCCGATTAGAACGGTCGGCTACGTACGGTGCAAAAGAAGTTCAACATACGTACTAACATACTATCATACGTCCATGCATACCAACGAAGCGCGTGGCCTTACCTGTGTGGTCGTTGTAGCGCTCGATGTAATAGAGGTAGTGGATCGCCATGTTCTTCGCCTGCACAAGGGACACGGCGGTGAGGAGTGCTTCGGTGAATCGGGCGAGCGAGCGAGCTCATAACGCAACGCAGGAAAAGATACTCCTCCCCAGGGATGCGGTGATTTGAGACAATTCGGTGGTCGCCAATGGATCCTCTCAATCCGCCTCGGTTTTTACCGCCTCGTTAGTTTTCGACTCGCTTCTACCGTTTTGTCCGACCCAGTGTGCCTTCAAGTGATGTGAGCATACCAATTTGCGAAAATTAGAATCAATTTGATGAATCTATGCATCGTTACCTGTCAGGTACATACCAGATACCAGTGAAAAACAACTCGGAGGGGGAGTGTTAATCGTATCCCATCGGCCACCTACTCACCCATTCACCCACCCGCTCAAATCACCCATGCAGCAACTCACTCGTCCACTCACTCATTCTCCCAGCATTCCACCCGTTTTACCTTTCTCAGTGCCGCTGTCCTTTCCGGAGCTTTTCCGATCGCGAACCCTGCAGAGGAAAACATTTTAGAATGCTGCGAGTAACAATCCACCATGGCGAACCGTTGGGCACGAACACCCAGCGCGTGTGTGGCTGCTGCGCTGCTCTGTGATGACGGGGGCTTGCGCGTGCATCTTTGTGGGCAGCGGTGGCACGGTGATTGGCACCCTGCACGAAGAATCCAGCGACCCGAGTTAAGATTCCCGCTTACGGCCAAAGTCGTTGTCGATTATCTGAACCGGTCCAGTGCTTACGCTAAATCGACTCAAGCATTAAATGAGGACCTGGTGCTGTGTAAACATTAGCACTGCAGGGACAAAGGCGGCCGGGCGTGGTGCTAGTCACACCACCCCTCTTGTGTGCCATGTTGGCCTCCATAGGTGGTCGCCAACAGCACTTTCCCAACTTAAGTTAAAGGCTACCTGTGGGATCTTTATCTTGTGTGTTGCCGTCAGAACGTACCAGCTGCGCCCTTCTTGTTGCCTACAACCACGAGAGCCCGGCACGACTTCTTGCGCCCTTCCTTGCCCGTCATGTGAAACACGTTTCTCACCTACGCAAGCACACAGAGATGCACACGCAGAGATATGCACACGCGCGCACACACACAAACAGTGGGAATCCCAAGGCATGGAACCAATAGGACATGCTACTTTATAGGCAGAAAGAGGCCATCACAGGCAAACGAAATAAAGAAGATATTGAGCTTGAAGAGAGGGGCAGGGAGTCAACAGCTATGGGATGGGAGTTCCAGACGACGGACTGCAGGGTGCAGCGTTATGCAAAGAGCTTACCTCGATAACCCTGGAATCAAAGTCTTCGTAAGTGTCTGAAAAGAAAAAAAAAGACATTCAAAAGGAAACGTTAGAATCTCAAACACGGGAAGAGTTTTTAACAGTCATTCTCATACACAACTCTTTCGAATTCGAACTAACGGTACCCTTCCGGAGCACAATTCTCCGTTAGAGGAAAAAGGGATTCGAATCCCCTATCAAAACCGATCGGATCGGCTACACCAGGATGTGAAGTTTCATCCATCACAGCACCCCCCCATCATCACCACCACCACCCACCTCCGTTGGGGCTGGGGTCGGGTGGGCCGAGGCTGATGCCACCCCAGTTGCGTCCGGACCAGCCGCGCTCCGTCTTCAAGCGGAAGCGCTTCTTCTTGTCCCACTCGTCCCGCTTGAGGAGCATGTTGGCCTGCATCTCCAGCTGCTCCGCCGCGCTGCGCCGACTCGGCTTCTGGACGCCGTCCTCCAGACGGATCGGCATGTTCAGGCCCGGCCACAAGAAGCCGCCCTGACCTGCGATAAAATCGCTCGTTCTTTCAATCGTTCGGCACTCGTTTCATTGACCCGTCATAGTTGATTTGCAACCAGGTGACAGCTCGTCGAGGAGAAACAAAAACAAGTTTTGCAATTCGTTCAACGAAACGCCGGTTCTGAAAATGTAAGTATGCATACATTTACTGCAATGTGAGCGACAAACATTACCCGAATCGCAGGGCGTGCGCTGTGTGTGTGTGTCAATTGACACCCCAGACATCCTTGCACGGAAGATGTTCCACACCAAGTGTTTTCCCAGATGAAATATTTTAATTTTAAAGAGATGTGGGAAAAGTGCAGCGCCCCCTCGTGTTTGGATTACAAAAAAATCACTTGAACGGATCTCAGAAGTAGTTGTGATCTCCTTCATCAGACAATTGTTTAACAAACAGGATGATGCAGTGCTTACTGCGTAAGTTCCTCAGGGATACGTAATCGTATGACATGCTGAAAATAGCACAATTGGAATAAATTTGGGGAAAGGACAACAAAATAATGAAAACAAAGTAGCACATGAACAACGGTCTCCGACCGTCCCTTCCGACAGTTGTAATCCTGTGGACCGTCTGCTAAAGAGATGAAGTAATGAAATCAGCTCATGTGGCGGTGCTAGGTAGAATATCGCATTGCAGGATCATGAAATATGGCGATGGCTTGGGGAGGTTTTCATCCAGCAGTGGCTGATAATGATAATGTATATGTTTCTCTTTACTGCGATTCTTAAATGTTGTTCTTAGTTTTAATGTTAGGTTAGTAACAATTAAGTCTGTGCTTTCCAGTTGCCTGGGTAACGAGCTAGGTTTTTCCCAATCCTGGCCAGCTGGCTTAAGAACTTAACAAATGAAACGACAATCAAGGGGATTGCCCTGTCCCCAGACGACCTGCTTGTCAGTTTTGATGTGGTTTCCTTGTTCACCAAGGTACCTGTGCCTGACACCATCGCAATCATTGAAGACTTGGTTCATCAAGGACTGAATGCTGGGGTACCCCCCCTGGTGAAACACTGCTTAACCAATACATACTTCACCTGGAATGGAACCTTCTACAAGCAAATTGAGGGCACCCCAATGGGCTCCCCCCTATCTCCGGTTGTAGCCAACATCTTCATGGAGAAATTTGAGACGGACGCTATCCAGACTGCCACTCTACGCCCGACCTTATGGAAGAGGTACGTAGACGACACTTTTGTCATCTGGCCACATGGCCGGCCTGCTCTAGACCAATTTCTCGACCACATCAATTCCATACACCCAGCCATCAGATTCACCATGGAAGTCGAAAATGATGGCAAGCTACCCTTTTTGGATGTCCTAATCAAAAGGAGACCTGATGGTTCAATGAGCCACTCTGTCTACAGGAAAGCCACCCACACGGATGCTTATCTAAAACCGGATTCCCACCACCATCCATCCCAGAAGAATTCCCTCATCAAGACTCTATATCATAGAGCCCAATGCATCTCCGACCATGAACACATTTCCAGTGAACTCAAACACGTACGCCAAGCTCTTAAGGCAAATGGTTACTCCGACTATACAATCCGCAAAGCCATCACTCCAACCATCAAGAAGGATCCTGTTGAGGAGCCTTTCAAGACCATCACCTTACCCTACATTGCTGGGGTCACAAAAAAGATCTCCAAAATCCTGATTAAACACAAGATCCAGGTCCGATTCAACACAGTACATAAAATCCGTGATCTGGTACCGTCTGTAAAAGATGTGGTTCCAGACATACAGTACCCTGGCGTCTACAAACTAAGTTGCCTCTGTGGTAGCAGTTACATTGGGGAAACCAAACGACATGTCTCGGACCGCATCCGTGAACATAAAGCTGACCTGAAACACGGTAGGACAAACACCTCAGCCGTGGCAGATCACTGTTACAACTCAGTGGGCTCACATGATATCGACTTCTCCAAGACAGAGGTTCTCTGCAAGCCATCTGGCTATCATGAGAGATTCGTTCATGAGGCGATCCACATATACAAACACATAGACAATTTTAACCGAGAAGATGGATTCTGGCTCAGCAATCATTGGAAGGACGTAATAAACCATTTCGATACACATTAGGGTGTGTAGAATAATACATAGTGTTATATTAAATGTATAAGATATAGGTTGGTTTACAGCAATACAGTATATAATTTAATGTTGGGTTTATCTATGGCAGTATATAGTACGGTATATGCTCGTGTGATATAAGAGAATAAGGTTTAGATGGAAGCATATTATAGAATTTTTACGAGGTAGAATTGTAATGTATTACTTGCTGTTAGTAACTCAGCTTATTATAGAGTATAGTAAGTATACTGATGGTGCGATGCAGTTTATACTTTAGTTTTTTATGTAGTTTATACTTTAGTTTTCTACGTGGTTGTTGAGTAACTGCAGCTACATATCATTAACATTCCTTTCCTTTGTTACTGCTAATCCCTGCACCCCCCTTGGTTGCTGCTGATCCTGCATAATGCATGGGCATAATATGACTTTGACACCCCCCCGCCCAACGCCTACGCATTTTCCATGAATATGCTAAATTCCTCTTCACATGCACATTCTTTTTGTTAAGGCGCTCTTCAACCCCCAATGCAGCTTATATATAAGCTCCTAGTTTGGTAGTGTCTCATTCTTCACCTGAAGACGGCTGCTTGCGTTGTAGCCGAAACGTCGTGAGAATTGTTTTATTATGTTTTATTTTTATTATTTTGTTACTTCCCTTCTACGTGACTTTACCGAAAGAAACAAGAAGATAATTTAGTGCTATTTCTCAATCCACTGCTGAATGATGTCCTCCTTACACCACGTCCGTCACGTGGGTCATTTGAGATGGTGGTGGTATGCAGAGGCCTTCATCCAACAGTGTATTGACCGTAGTGACATGGCCATGAATTATAGCTCAATGAAGTGGCTTATCACCTGGACATTTATAGTAACCAAATACTCTAAACGCATGTTGATTCTAAATTGGGAGGGGAAAATCGGAGGACCCAGAGAAAAATCCACGCAAACTCCACAAATATACAAGAGTCGGGGTTAGGAATTAACCCACGAACTTCTACATAACCAGGCGAGGTGGTTAACATCTCGCAACCGCGGCGCCCAACTATAAACGCTGTGGCAATGCTCCCATGGCACGCAAGCGCGACACACCGGTGCACGAGCGAGTCACTGCATACCTTCCCCGATGGTCTGTCCAAAGTTGAGGTTCTTCTTGAACTTGCGCTTGGCCCTCTTTCCTCGACCCTTGCGCATCGCCGACCCCGAATTGGCCACGACGCCTTTCCACAGCTCGTCAGCCGTCACTGCAACCCAGCGGACAAGAGCGTGAAACCACAGTGGTGGCAACGCAAAGTGTCTTGCAATCGGAAACCCGGTCTCTTGCAAACTTAGTAATCTGCAACTACTGTACGTAGGTTGTTTTGCGGTGGTGCTGCGTAGTTGTACGATGTTTGTTCGTGTTGTAGGGCGTGCAGTTGGGCATGATGTCGGGCACTGTGCTGGATAACACGGGGTACAATTCGAAAACACGTCAGAAAGGTAGTGATCTGCATCTAGAAACCCAATCTCGCGTAGACGGATACCCAGTTTCTTCACGCCAGAAAGCCATTCATGTAACAAGAAGCCTAGTCACCTACAATTGGAAAAATGGTCTCCAGTAATTGGAAGCCCTGACACCCATATGTACTGTGACTTAAGATCCATCTTGTCTTATTCAATTTTGGATCGTACGATACAATTGTAAACTGCCATACCCACTACTCTGTAGACTGGTATATTACAATATGAACAGCGCATTGAAAACGCGTACAATTTCAAGGACTGTTTACAAAGTGTGTTCACAAATCCACACTAAGTAACACTATGATTGACAGAGGAGCGTTAATTATTTTTGCGATAGTGCATTTAAATAGAGGTACTGCAGGTAAGTAGTTTTCAGTTTTAAAGGCACTAGTTTAACAAGACAACACACTTGCCACCATCCTTCAAACCCACCGGTGAAAAAGAGCAAAGTTTTTGTTTACATTATAATATGTTTATGCCTAGAGCCGGGGCTCTTGCATAAACACTAAGGTCAATTTAGGAAAGCACTGCAATTACAGCTCGTAGATAATGTTCAGTCCTCTCGGCCCCCCCACCCTCCCCCGGTTGACCACAACTGTCAGCCAACACTGGTATAAACAAGGGCATTTTCGTTCTCTTCTATCATGTGCACCAACAGGCATGTCCACGTACACGTGCACCCCGTGCTCTCTTTTAGCCCCCCCCCCCCCTTCCAATACGTCATCATGTGCACCAACAGGGACTTGCGCACAAACACGTCGACGTCTACGAGCACCTCGTGCTCTCTTTTAGCCCCGCCCCCCCCTCCCGATACGTTCCATTCATTGGCTACCACATTCTGATAAGCTCCCCCTCCCTCTCCTCCCCCTTAACTTGTATTTAAGAGCTTGCATCTTGGAATCCCTGCCTCACTTGATGCAGCAAATCTGGCTGTGACGGTCCCACTTGATGACGGAGACTTGTGTTGCCTCCGAAACGTCGTGATTTTATTATTTTATTTTTATTAATTTTCATTTCATTTTTTACCCACGTGACTTTACCGAAAGGACTAAGAGTATGAATCCTTGCAGTCACGAAAGCTTCAAATCTAGAATTGACCACAACTGCACCAGTCGTCCCCTCCTGCTGCTGCAACTATTGCTCACGTTTGTTGAAAAAGCTGCCGTGACGCCGTGGCTGAGTGACGACGGGGGCGACCGCTGCACCCCGAGGGGTCAGGGTCCCCAGGGTCACGGTGGAGAAGAGCGACCTGGGGCATCGCTGAGCCGCACAGACGCCCTCTGTGAACGAAACAATGAAATGGCAATCAATGTTAACGAACGACAATTCAAATGTTCAATTATATTTTTTTTAAACCCTGAGCTACCATAGTGGTGTAGTGCCTGTTTGGCATGGGCCCTTGATGCAAGGAATGAAATGGGGACCCCTGTTTGAGGAAGAAATGAAATGGGGACCCCTGTTTGACTTCGCACCCAGAGCCCATGACCCCCTACGGGTCCCAGTGCATCTCCAACTGCGAGTCGGCTCGCTGGGTGGAATGTCAACTGCGATTGTCAAAAGTGGGGGAGTCAGTCTCCCGCCATAGGAACGTGGAATTTCCACCAGTGGCTCAGGACAAGCGGAGCTCGTTTGACTGGCACTCGGCCACACGCCTATCGCTAGTCATCATGAGCCGTGATCAATCCACTGCTGGATGAAGCCGTTGCTGGTACCTTTCACATCTCGCATGCAAAAGAGTTTATCAAACATTTCATCGCAAGCCGCAGAAACAACAACGCTCCGTAACTAGGCGTCACACCTGCGAATCGATACAATTGTTTTCCAAACGCGTCTCGTTTAAATTAAAATCATTCAGCACATTCTTAGGTTTTTTTCGGCAAAGTCACGTAGGTAAAAAATGTAAATTAATCAAAAGTAAAATAAAAAATGTAATAAAAATCACGACGTTTCGGAGGCAACACAAGCACTCCGTCTTCAGGTGTAACCGTCACAGCACGATTGCTGTACAGTATCAAGGTCTAGAATCATTCAGCAAATCTAGAATCATTCAGCAAATCTAGAATCATTCAGCAAATCTAGAATCATTCAGCAAATCTAGAATCATTCAGCAAATCTAGAATCATTCAGCAAATCTAGAATCATTCAGCAAATCTAGAATCATTCAGCAAATCTCGAATCATTCAGCAAATCTCGAATCATTCAGCAAATCTCGAATCATTCAGCAAATCTAGAATCATTCAGCAAATCTAGAATCATTCAGCAAATCTAGAATCATTCAGCAAATCTCGAATCATTCAGCAAATCTCGAATCATTCAATCTCGAATCATTCAGCAAATCTAGAATCATTCAGCAAATCTAGAATCATTCAGCAAATCTCGAATCATTCAGCAAATCTAGAATCATTCAGCAAATCTCGAATCATTCAGCAAATCTCGAATCATTCAGCAAATCTAGAATCATTCAGCAAATCTAGAATCATTCAGCAAATCTCGAATCATTCAGCAAATCTAGAATCATTTAGCAAATCTAGAATCATTCAGCAAATCTAGAATCATTCAGCAAATCTAGAATCATTCAGCAAATCTAGAATCATTCAGCAAATCTCGAATCATTCAGCAAATCTCGAATCATTCAGCAAATCTAGAATCATTCAGCAAATCTAGAATCATTCAGCAAATCTAGAATCATTCAGCAAATCTCGAATCATTCAGCAAATCTAGAATCATTCAGCAAATCTAGAATCATTCAGCAAATCTAGAATCATTCAGCAAATCTAGAATCATTCAGCAAATCTAGAATCATTCAGCAAATCTAGAATCATTCAGCAAATCTAGAATCATTCAGCAAATCTAGAATCATTCAGCAAATCTAGAATCATTCAGCAAATCTAGAATCATTCAGCAAATCTCGAATCATTCAGCAAATCTCGAATCATTCAGCAAATCTCGAATCATTCAGCAAATCTAGAATCATTCAGCAAATCTAGAATCATTCAGCAAATCTAGAATCATTCAGCAAATCTAGAATCATTCAGCAAATCTAGAATCATTCAGCAAATCTAGAATCATTCAGCAAATCTAGAATCATTCAGCAAATCTAGAATCATTCAGCAAATCTAGAATCATTCAGCAAATCTAGAATCATTCAGCAAATCTAGAATCATTCAGCAAATCTCGAATCATTCAGCAAATCTAGAATCATTCAGCAAATCTAGAATCATTCAGCAAATCTAGAATCATTCAGCAAATCTAGAATCATTCAGCAAATCTAGAATCATTCAGCAAATCTAGAATCATTCAGCAAATCTAGAATCATTCAGTCAGCACGCCAAGGGGTCAAACGAAGGCGTGGAGGAGGAGGAGAAGGGGGGCCCGCAGACAGGGAGAGGCCTTATTCTGTGGCCGCAGCCGCTGCCACTGACGATGGCAGCGCCGTCTTCTCCCTCGGCCGCGAGCGGAGAGCGAGAGACTCTGAGCGGGGGAGAGATGCGGAGTGGCTGTGAAGAAGGACGACTTCGACTCACCCCGCAGAGCGACCGCCCTCAGCAGACACGAGCCCAGCCGCCAGGAGGCCGCCATGATGAGCCCAGAGCCGTGATTGCATTCCCTAGTGCGGATAGGGGGCACCGTTTGGTTTCCATAGAGCGGATAGGTATGCGCGCGGTAAATTATCTAGTGCGGATAGGAGCCGCTAGGGGGCACTGTTTGGTTTTCATACAACTTATAAGTATGGATGTGCATTGTATTCTCTAGTGTGGATAGGAGCCGGTACTGGGTAGTTTAGTTTTCATACAACTGATCAGTATGAACTGTACAATTAATTCTCATAGTGCGGATAGGAGCTACTAGGGGGTACGGGTTAGTTTCCATACAACTGATAGGTATTGATATGCAATACATTCCCTAATGCAGATAGGAGCCACAAGGGACATTGTTTTGTTTTCATACAACTGATAAGTATGGATGTACAATTTATTCCCTAGTGCGGATAGGAGCCACTCGCGGGCATGGTTTAGTTTCCATACAACTGATAAGTATAGGCGCACAATACATTATTGAGAGCGGATTGGAGCCGCTCGGGATAAGATTTGGTTATACGGTAATGTATTGCTCATAATAAAGGTGTTTGGGGTTAGATCGTGTCAATATGAATGTGTCGTTAACCCACCGCCACCCGACACAGCCAATTAGTCAAGTTTGTCATTTCAACAAAGCCCACAACGTTTGCAATTTGAGTACGACGTTTCGCTGGTGATTACAACAACCAGCTTCATCAGGCGATCTCGAGTTCAAGTTCATTTATTAGGTATAGCCCTGTGAGCCATTCGGCTCTTGAATCGGGTGCAACCGCAACAAACAAAAAACAAAAACATGAACAAAAATCATCTTAAAGTGAATATGTGACTAAGTGCAAACAGAAAATCTAAGAAAAGACAGCAACATATTGCAGGAAAAAACACCGTACACCAACGCTGTGTGCAAACATCCCAGTGGGATGCAAGTCAAACAACAACAACAACAAGACAACTTAGATTAAGGCCATCAGTCTAACTCTGTACTACAACAAACAAACATGGATAAACCAATACACTTTTTGAAATCACCAAAATAAAGCCATGATCTGCCAGGATTGTGAAGAAGTCTTCCCGTTTTTGGTCTTAAAGAGACCACGGTGATGTTATGCCTGTGAGCCGATCAGGCGCGAATATCAGAGGGGCATTAAGGGGCCGTCCATAAATGACGTCACGCGATGTTTGACGATTTTTGACCCCCCCCCCCCTTCGTCACACGGCGTCACAAGAAGTCAGACCCCCCCCCTCAAATATGACGTCACAAAGCTCTGCCCCCCCCTCAAATATGACGTCACAAAGCTCTGCCCCCCCCCCCTCAAAATATAAAACATGCTTCAAATCGCTTTAAACGATTGTCATTGTAGTGCGTATTTAATGTGGCGCTGCACTCTGATGTTGTAGGAGAAAACATTTATTAAAACGTCTATTTAATCAAGCAGAACGTGTTGTCTATATTTATTTAAAGTTGCGCATTTTGATGTGACGTCACAAATGTCTGACCCCCCCCCTAGGTGCGTGACGTCATTTATGGACGGCCCTTAATATATAATCGTATACATTAATCTGAGAATATGCAATGCCTATTAGCGGTTGGGTTAGTCAGTTAATCAACATATGATAGTCTGAGAAGGCATGCAATTAACGAAGCAGCGATTTGAATCAAAATGTTGGTATCGAATTTTCAGCCTGTGCTATATTTGAACATTACTTTCCATATTTGATCTAAATGCTTCTAATTAGGCTGGAAACTTTTAGTTTTTTTTATGAACTTACTTTTGCCCAATTAAATATTTTTTACATCGGTTTAAACGTTGGTAGTGGTGGCAGCAATTTCAAATAACTTCACGTTAAAGGGCTGTAAATTGTTAAATGGTTTACAGAAGCGTTGTTCATGCAAGGGGCGACGACCGGTGATGGAGAAATATCTGTGCCAGCCAAAGAACGGAATGTGTCGGAGAGTTACGTCTACCCAGGAGATGGAGCAATGAAATCGCACCTTCGATTAGCACGGTTGGCTACGTACGGTGCGAAAGAAGTTCAATACGCGTACAAATCCATTATTCATCGCAGGATCATGAGAGATGGTGACAACTTGAGAAGGACTTCATCCAGCAGTGAATTAATCATGGCTGCTGCTGCTGATGATGCTCATACAATGAACAAGGCATTGCCATAGATATCGAGTGTGAAGATGCCAGACGGAGGCTGCTTGAAAACGGATGCCATAAGAAACTGGGGGTGCGAATTACACCTCGGAGTGAATCATTTGAAAGGTAGATTTCGAACACTTTGCCATCTGCGCTCGAAGCCTGGCACCGTTCCTAACGTAATTATGTTGATGAAATGCTACAGCACTTTATGACTCCAGCATCTGTTCTGCCTCGTAAAGCAAGCCCCTGTCACGATCCACGTGCCGGTTATGGATGCGCCACAGTCACGCGATCAATGATGGCACAGGAAATGCGAGCAATGTGTTGCTCGTGCGTATTTTTGTCATTGAATTAAGCACCCAACCCTCTTGTGGAATAATAAAAAAACAAAACTGCTAGGCAGACCTCGACATTAGCACTTAGCTCCTGAACATATTGCGGCCCTACGCAAAAATATAACTGGCAGTCAACATACACAAGCCTTTATGTTCCTCGCACTAGTAATTCACTAGTTTATGCAATTATTAATTACTGCACTGCATTGAAATCATCCATTGCGCGCAGCAATAAAATGAGCCATCTGTGCCTCACTGCCATACAGTATATGTTTAAAAACCACAGTAGATCACGTAAGCTGTGTCTTGTGTCAGATTTCATAGTACGTTCCCAGAGAATTTACAACCAAGCTAAACAAAAATGCAATGCAACACTTTACAGCTGTATATCTTCACAGGGAGGGCATTTAGCCAGCTATAAGATGACATTTGCAAATGCATCTGAATATAAATAGGCCTTAATTATATTTGTAAATCAACGTGGCACTATGGCAGAATTCTACATTGAAACTATTTTTTTTAAACATAATTTCACATCCTTGCATGCACCCTGAACAAGGTTAAAGGATTTGCTGTGTTTTAAAATGCCCGATGGTTTTTGGATGACATTTCACTCGGCGCATTTCTTCAGGTGCACGCCACCTCGTGTCTCGTCGCTTGTGTGCTACTGATGTTGCGTTTTTTTGTTTTCACCTTGGCATGCGCCACATAGTTTTTTTTTCTAAAGCGAAAAGGACGTGCTGGTGTGCTTTAAATATCAAATGTCAACCCTTTCACCGGAACAGTTATGAACAAGTGCTATTTCAGAAAGCTAAACGTTACATTTGCTATTTAAAGCGGTTTTGTTGATTTATTTATTTGCACGATTATTATCAACATAGAATTTCACTTACCATTGGACGTTTAAGCCGCAATGCGTTACAGTACTGTGATCCATATTTGTCTTTGGATAGGCCACGTGGTAGCTTGCCAATTATTTTTTAACTCACCCTCCACCACCCGACAAGATTGTACAACGACGTTATTTGTACGTGCCATGGTATCGATCAAATTCTGATCGATCAATTTCTGATCGATACAGCTCCTCTCGCCGCTGGCTTAAGGCTTTTCAAATCGCTTTGAGCTTCATCAGGTGGTGAACTCGTAAATTGAGTGCGGCTGCTTCATCTGACTCTGTGCTTAAAGTATCCGCCGGGACATCTTCAACGGTCGTATCAGTTCGAGTTGTGGGGGGATTACTGCATCCAATAGTGGATTGATTATTGCTTATGAGATTGACGTATCGAAGACACTGGTGTGACCGTCAACCTCCGATTAGCACGGTTGGCTACGTACGGTGGCGAAAAAATTTCACCATACATCAGAATATGCATTCATACTAGAGGAATCCGATGAGCTACAACGCTCTACTTCACAGATGTCCAGCAGGGTGGCACGTGGTCAGGACGTTACACACAATCTCAACAGGCAGATGCCCACATCTCCATCACGATTGTGGTCACACTACACACACTATATGGACCATACGGTGAACCACTGCGGTCTGCGTTTCTTCAACGGAGGAGGAATAGCAAAACGACACGAGCCCTTCTCTCCTGAGGGCCCTTTCGTCGCGGATAGCCAGGGATCAATTCTAGATTTGAAGTTTTCGTGACTGTAAGGATTCATACTATTTTTTTTGGTTTATTTTCGGTAAAGTCGCGTAGGTAAAACATTAAATAAATAGCCAGGCATCGACAACCTGGGCTTGCGGTCGGAACCGCAGAAACAAAGGCAGTATACGCCGGTTGTCCTCATTCATACTCTTAGTTTTTTTCGGTAAAGTCACGTAGATAAATAATAATAAATGAAAATAAATCAATTAAATCACGATGTTTCGAAAGGCAACACAAGTCTCCGTCTTCAGGTGGGAACGTCACAGCTAAATTTACTGTATCAAGTGAAGAGAAATCCAAAAGACAAGTTCTAAAATACTGGTTAAGGGGAGGGGCTTATCTAAATGTGGCAGTCAGATTCAAGATCTTGTCTTTTGGATTTCTCTTCATTTGATACAGTAAATTTGGCTGTGACGGTCCCACCCTGAAGACGGATACTTGTGTTGCCTCTGACACGTCGTGATTTAATTGATTTATTTTCATTGCTATTATTTTTTTACCTACGTGACTTTACCGAAAAAACCTAAGAGGATGAATCCTTGCAGTCACTGAAAGCTTCAAATATAGAATGTCCTCATTCCTGTCGACCCATACGATTTACCCCATATTATTGTACAGGGGAGATTTTGTAGGATGAACGTTGATAATTGGGTTTTTACCCTTTTATCTGGCAACAAAACTGACACCTTTTTAAAATCCTTTATATTAAGTTCGCTTGCTTGCTTGCTTGCTTGCGTGCTTGCTTGCTTACGACCGTGCAAATCTTTCGGTCGTTTTTTATCCCACTTCCCGTGATCCAATCGAGCTGACATTTTGCACACAGACTCGTTGTGCGAGACAATTAATTTTCGTGAATTTTTTTTTCCAAAATTTTACACTGTTTAGGGAAAACAAATTAAATAATTAATTACCAATTGCTTAATACTGGCAGACAATCATCTGACCCATAGGTGGCAGCCATCTCAAGCCAGAGGACGAGAGGACTCTAGCCACCACGCATATAAAGGATTTATAGTGAAAAAGTTTGTTTTTACGGGTTTACTTGTGACAAGGAGTCATGTTTGCATTGACCACAATACCAGCAGTCGGAATGCAAACAAAAAACATAACTCTGATAATGAAATGTATTGGTCCACACCCGAGACAGCTTTCTTTAGAGCCTAGTCTTACATGGTGTTGGACCAGATGACGCCAAAAGGCGCACAACTCAAGGACAATGCACCATCAGAGTATGAGAGCTCGGGCTAAGCATTTACACCATTGGAACATGAAATTTGATATTTGCAAGGGGTGACAAATAAGGTCTGAATTGTTTTGTAATAAAGTAGGCGACTCATAATGATTGATGAGTAAGCGTCCTTATATGAGGACTAATCGGCAGTAATCGCCACCAATGCTACTTTTCTCAATGGGCGTTTTCGAATTTCCCGCGTATTATGCAAAGTTATGCTAATTAGAAGGCGGATTGGCCAATCGCAGTCGCCCATTTGAGATGTGCGGGGACCCGTATGCAAATTATATTGGAAGAGATCTCGCAGGGTCACGTGGTGCGTCCGCCATTTCTCCGTCTTCACCACCCGGGGTATTGTTGCGATCGCCCAAGTGTCGATTTCCAGGACAAATGTCTTCTTCGCGCTACTACGAGGGCCACCAGGCCAAGCGCCAACGCACCGACGACGGCCACAACGGACGGGTGCCTATTTTTTTAAAATATATATTACAAAAATGTTTTAATTGTGTTTCATTTCCCGCGGTCCGTCACGCCGCGGCCTACCTCAGGCTTCTTTTAGGGTCAGGCCTGCATTGTTTGGCGGGACGGATACGAGAGAAAGATTATACGCGCGTGCCTTTGCCATCGTGTAAATGTTGATATATCTACGTGTAATTGCATTTTTTATTATCCTTGTGTACGTGGGACGGTAAATGAGTGAGGTTTTTTTGTGTGTGGGTAAGCCTCGGGTGTGGTGAAGGACTTGAATCGGACCAGGCCGCGCTCCGTAACACGTGTTGATGCAGCAGCGGAGAATATACGATTGTTAAACAACTTAACCTTATTTTAATCGTACATTTGGCATCGCATCGTGCAAACACTATTATTTGACTGCAGTGATGGGCCATGTAGTGTATCGCGCCGTGAACCGTGGTTATTAATACTCATGCGATGGCAGACAGCGGAATCTTACGTTTGTTCGGGTCATAGAATTGTGGAAGGACTGCAGAGATCGTAAGGAATCGCAGATCGCCCTAACTTTGCTCTATATATAAGATATTAGCTCTAATATAATGTGTTTTTCAGAAATCAACGATTCTAGCGCCTGTTCGCCGCGATCAGTCTCGGAACTTTAAATTATGTAATTTTAATTGGAAAAGGTCAGGGCTCAACATATGTCGAAAGCAACCTTCATACTAATGGTGAAACATGCTCTGTATATTTACAAATCTGTTTTAAGACGCACTTAATGAGTGAAAAGGCATAAACTGCACAGCTAATGGGGGGAGCATACTGTGAACATATATAAAATCACTCCATCTACATGGGCTATGAGATAAATCCTTAAGATATCACTAGACTCGTGTGAATTAAATATGGCAATTCCGATCGAGTGTATCTTTGTGGAAAGGCAGTAATTAAGTATATATTTTATTTTTCTACCTACGTGACTTTACCAAAAGAATCAAAGAGTAGTAATTAAGTAATTCCGTAAAACACACATTTGGGTAGATTGGACGATATGCGTTGAATGGCTGAATGTGATGAAGTATTTTTAATGTGAACAAAAGTTAACGAATCTTGAGTTCCACTATGAATATCCGTCGCTCGCAAAGTTTCCCCACCATCCCACAATTGTAAGACTTTTTAGTTACCCTGAGCGTAACCAAAAAGTTGCTCCTGATCACGGGACCCGGTCGTTGCTGGGGTGCGGCTTCGCGAGGATTAGATATATCTTTGGCCACTAGTCTTTGAGGATTCCTATAATAATAATAAACAGCAGTAAGTTCGGACGTGGGGCGCACACTTGTAACACAACTGCCGGTTGTGTGTGTACCTAGTGATGCTTTGTAAGGATATATGTAGTTCGCATGCACGTGATTATAATATCGAACGCAACGGGTTGGAAAAATTAAGAGTTCACGTGAGTAAAATCGATACAAAGAGTTATTCTTGAATATAATCGGTACTTGGAATCTGGTGCCGAATAGGTTTTTTTTGTTCCTGTTTGGGGACAAACGCGTATATACCGTACTGTGTAAACAATTTGCGTTTATGCAAGGCTGGTTTAAGATTAGTTCGCATTGGTAAAACTGTTTGAACGTGCAAGACGCGGTTAAGATAACACGTGTATCGATAAGGAATAACACGAAAAACGTACACCCAATATTTACATATGGCAAGTGCCGTGCATTTGGCAAATGTGTTAACACTACAGGTCCAAAGTGCCCGCACAAATAAAAAAGCAAGAGTTGTTTAAAGTGGAAAATTGCAAAACCTCTAATCTTGGCCATGGATAGTTAACATTAATTTAATGACTTGTACATTGCTCTACTGTGCATTAGATATTTAACCTGAAGACATTAATAGTATCGAGGTACATCATTTTGTTAATATAAATACGCAATTCATATGTAACAAACAAAGCAAAAACATTCCGGCATATTTTTGCTGCCTGTGGCTATTTAACGAGCGACTAAGTTTCTCCAGCCATGCCCATGTCTACATGCAGAAAAGCTGTGGGTGTGTCAGAGGTCGCAAACGGGTTTTGATTCCTTACCCGTACCCGGCCGCACCAGGGTCGCAAATGGGTACCCGTACCCTACCCGAAATGAGTGACCAACGGTGACTCACCAGTGACTCACGGCCTACCCGTACCCGGCCGCACCAGGGTCGCAAACGGCTACCCGTACCCGGCCGGGTACCGGTAGCCGGGTATCGGGTATGGTACGGGTATCGGGTACCCGGTTGCGACCTCTGGTGTGTGTATATTAGAGCAGCTGCTGTTCCGTGTGAGTTTTAACCCTTGGTGCACGTGTGTGCGCGTGCAGGAGAGCTATGAAGACCCGTTAAAGCCATCCCCCTCCCCCGTGGTGCACGTTCGTGGCCTGGCGGAGCATGCTGTAGAGACCGACCTTGTCGAGGCTCTTCAACACTTTGGCCCCATCGGGTACGTCCGTGACATCACACTTTCCATTTTCTCGTTGTTCTTGAACTTTGTTAGTGTTGCACACCAGGCCTAGTGTTAACTTTTGGGTTTTGTTTCTTCTTAAAGAATGTGGGTGTGTGTGTGTTTTAAGCTGGGTGACATTGTGGCAAGAGTCTGACACACAATTGGAAGATTGCAAGTTTAAATCCCTGGCAGGGCACCACTGCGTGTTGATCCTCTGGGGTTAGTCGTGGGTGTTCTTTGGACACTGGCTTCCTACATATAAATATGGAATTTCCACAACTGGATCGATCAAGTACGAGCACCAACCACACCCATCGCTTATTTGAGCAGGTCGGCATGACTTTCTAAATAAACTTAACAGGAAAGGGCCTCTTTCTGTGCCAAAAAAATAAAATTCAACTATATCAACCAAGGGCATATTTGAACACTTTTTTACAGCAGCTTTTGTTGTTGCAGGTAAAAGTTTTACTGGTTTGACTACTTTGGGTCACATTCACAGGGTGTGGCCCATTCAACAAGCATTGCTGGGTTTTTTGTGTCAAAGACTAAAAACACTCCATTTATACGATGGGGGGCCCATTCAGTGCACTATGTAATTTAGAGTGACTTTGACGTGTTTCTTATTATACAACTCTGGTGTCACATCCTCTGTGGTCACAGGTACGTGGTGATCATGCCCAAGAAGAGGCAGGCCCTGGTAGAGTTTGAGGACCTGGAGAGTGCTCGCAGCTGCGTCACGTTCACCGTGGGCAACCCCATCTATGTGAGCGGCCAGCCGGCATACTTCAACTACTCCACGAGCCAGAAGATCTCTCGCCCAGGCGGTGGCGAAGATAGAGCATCCTCTGCCAACCACATCTTGCTATTCACCATCATTAATCCGGCTTACCCCATCACTACTGTAAGTTTGCGTGGCAGGTTGCAACACATTCCTCGCGAACATGTGATGTCTTGTGCGAGTGATTTTTAGGTGTCCGTGGTGACTAAAGCTGCTCATTAAGGGAAGGTGCAACCGTAAAAAATATATTCATTGGGTCTTTCGGTAAAGTCACGTAGATCAGGCTGAAAAAAGAAAAATACTTTACCGAAAGACCGAAAGAATATGAATTACTGCAGTCGCGTAAGATTTAAGTCAAGATGTTAATTTTTTTTCAAACTATTAAACATTTTGGGTTATTTTAAAATTGGCTTGAAGCTTTGTTGCACAGAAGAAAACATGGAAAGTTATTTTTAGGCTGGTTGTCTTAGTTTTCTCACTAATGGTGTTTCAAAATGCATATCAGTGATGTAAATGCAACAAGTTGTGGTGCAGTTAATTAAACTTCCAATTTTTTTATTACGCTTTTATTCTCCTGTTTTGATAGGTTGGTATGTTGTCTGGGGGTTTGTGTGAACAGCCGGTAGCAACATATCATTGTAAAAATGAAAAATGTATGTTGACATGTACTGTAAATTTTTACCCATCTATAGAACAACTGACAAAGTTGGCACATATTTCTTGTATTGCAGTATTTTGTTATCTTAGGTCGATGCATACATTTTTTTTGGGTTTACCATACATAATGTTTAAATTCTTGGTTGAATTCTTGGGCTTTATATAATTATGGGTGTTGAGTAATGACAAACCCAACTCAGAAATTGAGTTTTAAAGGAGATATTTTATTTTTCGTTATCCATTTAAACACCATTTTTGCAATATTTATTTTCACTAACTTTGTATTGAGGACATTTTTATCTCGTTTCTTAAATCTCCAAGTTGCCTCTCGTTCCATATCAAAGACGACTGGTTCACACTTTTGTGATGGCAAACTTCAATGTGATTCTCGCACAATAATCGCTTATTATTTTTGTTCCAGGATGTGTTGTACACCATTTGCAACCCGTGTGGCCCTGTGCAACGTATAGTCATCTTCCGCAAGAATGGGCTGCAGGCCATGGTTGAATATCCTTTTTTTGCACTCACGAGTGCTTGGTTGTGTGGTTTGTACCTTTGTCAATGAATATGGGAGTGAAATGTCCAGTGCACGTGTGAAAAGTTTTCCTTAACATATCCCACATTTGACTCGGTGCAGAGTGCACAGAGGGCAAAGGCCTCTCTTAATGGTGCTGACATCTACTCAGGCTGCTGTACTTTGAAGATCGAATATGCAAAGGTTTGGAATTCACATGACCATGTGTTTCTTTTTGTTTAATATTTTTGTAACTTGACACTACATTGCATGGAGCAGTGGCATTCTGTACCCGGTATGTGAATGTCATTTTAATGTCTTTTGGAACAGCCGACACGCCTTAATGTGTTCAAGAATGACAGCGAGACTTGGGACTACACCAATGCAAACCTGGGAAGGCAAGGTGAGACTTGGCAATGTCATAACTACAATAAAACACATTTTCATTAAAATGCTATTCATCATGACTTGGGCTCCCAGCAATCACTCTGCATACCAAAATTGATATGTATACCATTTATAAATGGTTCAACACAAAGTTTTTAATGTTTTGGTAAATGTTATTTAGTCCAGCAGTAGCACAATAAACCTTAGTTGCTAATTAGCTGTATACTATGTGGGGTGATCTGCTGGGAGTTAAAAAAAAAACATTTACATCTAACTGCTGCTTTTATGGCTTGCCTTTTAAGTTGTTTCCAAATCACAGATCCACTGAGGTTTTCACACCAGATGTACATGGAGGAACCACTTGAGTGGGATGCATTGCTGCCACCTTTTAATCTTTAGTCCTCACTTCAATAGCTGGCACTTCCTGAGTCACAGGTTCGCACCTTCAAGCAGGAGGGGAAGGGGGGGTTACAGATCTGCACCTGGAGCCCGGCCCTACACCTCTCTGCCCCCCCCTCACAGCCTACACCTGCACTTACCTGAAGATAGCGAGAAGGGCAGACGCACAGTCTCTCATGCTCTTGAATGGGGGCGGCAACACCACCCCGCGTGCCGTAAACACTGGCAGAAAAAAACATGGGGGCGCACGTCTGCACGGGTGGGTGTAAGGCGCCCTGAAACACAGCACCACAGAAGATGGAGGAGACGCGCTATCGCTGTCGTAACGTTCACGCTTTAAACAACCACGCCCGGGCTGTGGAGGAACCACGAGAACATCTGCACTTCAACAGGATACATTCTTGACAGCCCGCACTGAGACTCCAAGAGACTAAGATCCGCCTGCATACGTGCACTACTTGCATACTAAGCTGGCACAATGTGCACTGGTGCTGCACAGTATTTCATCACATCTTGTCTTCCATGAAGCTTTCAGGTTTTTAAAATAAAAACCTCACTGATGGCATTCTTCCTCCTAATGCTTCTTGGCATCTGCGTACACCGAAGACCACCACTAGGCTGCACATGGCACATACGAGAGGAGCGCTATCGCGTGAAGCTAGAGAAATCCTTTCTCAGGCTCAACATCCACTACAAAAAGTGCACAGCTTCCTGCGTGGTCCACGCGCAGGACTGTCCGTTTGTTATTTTTCCTCGTGGAGAAGGCATGTGACATGGCGGCAGCGCACCCGAAACACCGCTTAAAGAGCTCGCTCAAGCCTCAGTCACCCCTTCCGGGCCACGTCACCACAAGCGGGGGAGCCACACTCACGCAGAGAGAGAGGGGACATCACATCCCAGAGTGGGACTGACTGCCAAGCAGAAACTGACTGCAGAACATCAAGTACTGATGACGCATGGAACATTTTATTATTATTATTTCGTTGTTCTTGTGTTTTAGGTTACGTAAGAATTTAATGAGTTAAATTGTAAATCTTTAAGTATGTTCGACTGTTTTATAATCTGTAGGCAGTCTGAAGCAAATAATTTTTGTTAGATTAATATATTTGCATTGTTTGCTTAATATTCAGACCTTAATCTTGTGTAGAAATGCTTTAAAATGACAAAGTCTGTTAGAATAATAATGAAACAACTTGTTTAAATTTGAGTAGAAATTACGTTGAATATTTGAGTCTTAGTCGTAAAGGATGTGCAGTTTTGCTGACTTTGAACCTACCTTGATTTCCCTTAAATTTAATGTATTTTTTACATGTACAGTTAAAATGTAGCTTTTATACCTAACTGTAGAATGGCATTGGGTATTGTTTACCAACATGATTTGGTACTAGTGCATCCAGTTGTTCATCTTTTACTGCCAACGCAGCCATTCTGCATATCCTTTGTTGTTGTGCAGTGTCTTATTTCTGAAAATAGTATTTTGATAGCTAGTTTTTTTTCGGATGGTTGCCGAGCAGGGTCTGTATAATAAGTGTTGCTGGTGTGACGCAGGAGAGAATGGGCTACCGCCAATCTGTTTGTGCTGGGGGACCGCCCTTTCAGCCACATTATCTTGCTGTTGAGGCCTAGCTGGGTAAGGCACTGTCGCAGATATACCATTTGTGGATGGTCATGCACAATCCCTGCGTAAGTAGTGCATACGCATTCCACCACCAGATATGGGAAAACCCCCTTTGTCCATAGAGCGCTACTTAAAAGCGGACCTGTATGCAATCGCCACTGTACACCTTCATATATCATGTATATACCAATAAAAGATGACCAACTTTGTCGCGTCTCTTTTAAACCGCACACTGCCACCCGTTATGTGCGCAGTGTAAACCGTCGTATTTCTGACCTTTGCGCCAGATGCACCCCCACTCTGTTTGCACTTTGTTTTTTCTAATCGGTATTTCAAAAAAAAAAAAGTGAATTTAATTTTTGTTGAGCAAATGAACATCTCCTGTGCACGAACATCATATGGGTTTCGTTTGCAAGTTAAATCATCTGAACCAGTACAGTTTGACCCAGTGGCCTTGTGTAACGCTACGTGTGTTTCTCGACGTAGATGACAAACGGCAGAGAACGCCAGCGCTCCTCGGAGACCATCCCAACAACGCTTATGGAGATTACGCAGAATACAGTACGGAGACATTTTGTTGCACGTTTGATATCTCTTGACATCTCGCCCTACTCTACCATACGTGTTTTTGTTGCTTTGCCGTTTATAGACTCTTTATTAGAGCCCTTAGGCTCCACCTTTACAAATTAAACCAAGCGTTGTTTTTTAATGACTGCATTTCTTTTTTCAGATCAAGGGTACCAAACAGAGGAATACCCTCCTGGGACTGGATATGGTGAGTTTGTTTTAATCTTTTCCTGCCATTGATGTATCTCCTACTTGAAGTCGTTTGGCACATTGTTTTTCAGATTGTTAGGCCTTCTCCCATGTACTTGGATCATCTGAGGGTGAATGACAAGTGTAGTACATGCACAGTGTTGTATACCAAGTCAACTGATGTAAAGCGGCACTGGGGCTAAAATTGTAGCTGGGCATAGAACTGATTGCACCCTTTCTGTGTCATGTCCGATTGAGAATGGACACCTTGCTCTGATACTGACCACCGAAGGGTCAATAAGGCTAAGGCGGGTGTTTGGGGGTTAGATGTCTAATATGGCCTGTGTTCATGTCCATTGCAGACTACTCAGGGCAGCATCAGGGTGGTGGTGGTGTTGGTGGTGGTGGTGGCGGCGGTGGCGGCGGCGGCGGCGGCGGTGCCTACCAGGGCTACCAGGGCTACGGCCAGGAGGAGATGGGGGCGCCGGCACGGATGGGTGCCAACCGCATGGGCCGTGTCGGCCCTCCCCCCATGCACCACCAGCAGTCGGCTCAGGCCACCAGTAAGGTGCTCATGGTGTACGGGTTTGACCCGGAACGCATCAACTGCGACAAAGTCTTCAACATCCTGTGCCTCTACGGCAACGTGGAGAAGGTGAATGGGCGGCCGTCTTTTAAATTGCGTCTCTCTCTCTCTTCGTTCGGCAAACTTGGGTGATTTGGAAATATTTGCGTGTTAATTCGAGGGTTGTGTGTGCTTGTAACGGATGATATCTGTTACCTTTTTTTAGGTTTGTCAAATGAGCTTTTATATAAGATTTGTAGTTTTTGATTGAGATCCTTTTAAATGTTTGCGTCAAGTTTCGTATTGGACAAAGTGGTGTGAAACAATGCGTTTTACAATCCGTGCAAACACCTTGTTTTTGTAGATAAATGGGTGCTTCAAGATAATCCACTTTTATTACATGGTGATAAATAAATCTGGTTAGTGTAAAAAAACAAGTTAATACTTTGGCTTGATGTATAAGCATATATATATATATAAACACCCAAGTTTGTAATTAAAGCTGCCTTTTACTGTGGTGGTGTTCATGATGAATGTGGTTGGGGCATACGTTGGGTACAATGTTCACCTAGCAAAGCATTTAAAAGTTTAATGCTCCAGTCTAATAGCTGCTCAAACCTCTTATGCCCTTTACTAACTTGTTCTAGTGTGGAGTACAAGAATCAAAGCTGGCAATGAACAGTCCAATTAGGTTCTCATGTTGACAAGTGCACTACAAGTATTCGATTGTTTGCATTGGCATTCATCAAGTAATTTTGCAGCTGGTTGGGTGCAGTAAAAACATTGGCATTTCCTTTTAAGAAGTAAAATGTCAACCGGTTGCATCGGTGCGCCAATTTGTCACTCGCTGTATCTTTTGCATTATATTATGTCTTTTTGCGCTGAGAATTAGCCCAAGAGGGTATTGACGGTGCAAGTGAAAATCCTTGAGGTCACCTACGAGTAGAACTTGTTTTGCATGACCTTTCTCTAACCGACATGGCAATTTCACCTTTTCTCGGTTATGCCTGGTTGTTGTTGCATTGCTTGCTTGCGAAGTCGTCTGTTTCCTGGCCATTGCATAGCATTCTTAACACGTGGTGATTTCCCCGTTCGCAATAATAGTAAATTGAATATTATTACATTCATAATTCATGTTATAATGGGACCTCCTTTGCCAGTACCAAAATTTGGTAATAGGTTTTTCCCCTTTTTTCTGGCAACGAAACAGCTGTGTTAAGATGTTAAAACACCAAACTGAAACCTTTTACAAGGAATCATGTCTGCATTAACCACAACACTTGTGGTCAGAATGCAAACCAAAAACATACTCTGATAATATATGCATTGTCCTTGAAACGGATTGGTCTACCACAAGCGTTGTGGTTAATGCAGACATGATTCCTTGTAAAAGGTTTCAGTTTGGTGTTTTAACATCTTAACACAGCTGTTTAGTTGCCATAAAGGGGAAAACTCTATTATACATTCATGTTATGTTTCACTTTTTCATTTGTAGATGAACAATTAAAACATTTTAGTCTCGTGTTCCAAGGGATTGATGTTTTGACCAGCGTTCGTGTGATTTTAATTACCATCAATCGTGCTACGTTTCCGTGTGCGCTGGTGTTTTTCGAGCTAATTGACTCTTGTCTTGTGGTGCCATGCACGCGTGCTCAGATTAAGTTCATGAAGAGCAAGCCTGGCGCGGTGATGGTGGAGATGAGTGACCCATTTGCTGTGGACAGAGCCATTCACCACCTTAACCAGGCCTCCATCTTCCAGAAGAAGATAAACCTTTGGTAAGTGTGCCAGTGTTTTGCCGACCACTCGGCTGATGCGGACAATTCTGCGGACCATTCAGTGCCACCACCTCCGGTGAACATGCATTCTCTTGTCCTCCGCACCTCCTATGAGCAAAGGTCGGAAACGTATGGTACGAAAGAAGTTCAACATACATAAATTCTTGTAATGCAAAATTATTATTATTGAAACAGCTATAATAAAGGTTTTATTAGGTGGGGGTCATTTATATCTGAGGGTTAGGATAGTTTAATCAGGGTGGTTTACCTAACTAAATTTTTTCATTAAATGAGTAAAATATTAATGTCTGAAACAAAGCATAAACGTAATTGTTTCTGGATAAACCTGCATTTGCATCAGAGCCCCACGGACCACCTGGAGGAGCGTTGTGGGACTGGGGACCGCACTCATGGGGATCCACTTACCTCGTTGGTGTTCTGCAGATCTTTACACGGTTTGCTCTTCCAACATCGGCTTGTTTTTTTTGGTTGCTTCCGGCAGCGTGTCCAAGCAGCAGGCCATCATGCCCAGCCAGTCGTACGACCTGTCTGACGGCACGTGCAGCTTCAAGGACTACACGGCGTCACGCAACAATCGCTTCAGCAACCCCGAGAAGGCGGCCAAGAACCGCATCCAGCTGCCGTCCAACATCCTGCACTTCTTCAACGCCGCGCCCGATGTCAGCGAGGAGCGATTCAACGAGGTGTGTTGTGGGTCTGGCCTCCTCAATGTATGCATGTGTATGTTGAAGTTCTTCTTGGTTCTCTCAAGTAAAGTCGCGTAGAAGGGAAATAATAAAATAATAAAACATAATAAAATACAATTCTCACGACGTTTCGGCCACAACGCACGCAGCCGTCCTCAGGTGAAGAGCAGGTCTGTCGGAAAGACAGCGTCTGAATGAATGACAGACCTGTTCTTCACCTGAGGACGGTTGCTTGCGTTGTGGCCGAAACGTCGTGAGAATTGTATTTTATTATGTTTTATTATTTTATTATTTCCCTTCTATGTGACTTTACCGAAAGAACTAAGAAGATGAATCCCTGCAGTCATGAAAGCTTTAAATCGAAATTTATGTTGAAGTTCTTTCGCACCGTGTGTAGCCAAGCGTGCTAATCGGAGGTGCGTGGGAATGACAACAAACTAAACACAAAAAGCAGTTTTATAGAAATGAGTTTTCAGTCTCTTTGTACAAGCCAGAGGATTAATTTAAACGAGGGTTTATTGGGCGCGAAGAAACCTTTCATTTACCGAGGGCCAAATTGTTGGTAGATATTGCGCAGTTCGTTCATTTATTAGGTATAGCCCTGTGAGCCATTCGGCTCTTGAATCGGGTGCAACCGCAACAAAAAAAAACATCTTAAAGTGAATATGTGACTGAGTGCAAACAGAAAATCCAAGAAAAGACGGCAAAATATTGCAGAAAAAAACACCGTACACCAATGCTGTGTGCAAAAATCCCAGTGGGATGCAAGTCAAACAACAACAACTACAAGACAACTTAGATTAAGGCCATCGGTCTAACTGTACTACAACAAACAAACATGGCTAAACCAATACACTTTTCGAAATCACCAAAATAAAGCCATAGGAACTGTGATCATAGGAACTGTGATGGAATGTTCACAATAAGTGTTATAAACAACATGTACTACCAAAACCCTGCAGCCATAGCAAGAGGGGGGGAAGAGCCCCTTGCAGTGACTAAAGTAAAATTAGAAACACACTTGCCAGCTCAAATGTTCCTCTGTTCGTGGCTTTGATGTTTGCAGCGACAGGCATTATTTTGCGGGATGTTTAAAATGTGTAGGCCACGAATCTTTTAAAATTATGTTGCGAGCTGTATTTCCCCCCCATCTCTTTTCAAATAATCGAGTCTAGCTACAGTGGGGCATTCCTGATGTGTTGTCAAGGCTTTTCTTGGTTTAATGAAACCTTGCTTTTGGCTACATTTCACATTAAAAAAAAAAATTTGTGGTATTAAATATCCAACACCGATGAAGGCCTCTCCACACTTCCAGTCGTGGGGTTTGTATGGTTTTGAAGGCTGAGAGTCGAACTCAAGTTGCTCTGTTTCCAAATCGCTGCAACCACCGCATCACCACTCCTCCACCCAATGCTTAGCTATATGTTTAGTTGCGTGGAAGATGTATATTTTTTTTATGAGTGCTTAACATCTAATAATTGGAATTGTGGTTTGTCGTAAAAGACTTGGAGTTGTGTCGTAGTTAATTCTTTTAACCATGTCTTTATTGTTTTTATTTAACAGATGTGTGATGAATTTGAAGTGAAGAGGCCCATGTCTTTTAAGATGTTTGCTGGAAAGAGTAAGTAACAATGCAGTAGTTCTTATCCTACCTAATAAATGTGTGTTTTAACACGATGGAGTACCGTTGTGTAAAAATGTAACATTGGTCATGTGGTGGAGCACTACGAACGTAGAATATCCACCAGTGGTTCCTGACTTCTGCGTTGGCTGAAAAATATGTTCATATCGATATTATGGTTATTTGAGTATTTTCAGCATCCCGTAATTATGGGATATATGCTTAACTTTTGACCGTTATTCCACAACAATGAATCTTAGCACTTTTAACTAATTACAAGTTTGATTTCTGTGGAACAGTCATTTTAACCTCTGCGGGTAAGTTTAAGTTTACCTCTGGCTATTTTTTCAATTACAGAGTTACTAACATAATTCTATACTGGAGAAGTTGCGTTTACAGTATTGCTTACTCTATAACTTTAATATGTGAACATTTGAAGCATTGTGACAGCAACGTGCTTAACTATTTCAGGTGACAAGAGTGCATCTGGCCTGCTTGAGTGGGATGATAAGAATGATGCAATGGAGTCCCTGGCTCTCATCAACCACTATCAGATGAAGAACCCCAGTAAGTCCTGATTGATACACCATGCGTGTGTGTATGTCACGCATGGAACTCGCCGCGTATACCCTGTCTTGTTGAAAAAATAATAAAAATGTCTCCAGATTAAGATCCTGTTTAATTACAACCGGAGATGTACGATCGTGTTGAGACATGTTTAGCAATTTTATTGTGATTGTGGCACGTCATAACTTCTAGGAAAGGTTTGTTGTTTTGGAGCTCGGTCATAACCAACGGTGGGTTTCAAGAACTCGGAAGTTGGAGAAAAACCCCGAGTCCTCGTTTCACGCGATCAGTGTCTTCCCTGAAAAGTTCCGCATTAAGCGTACTATTTCCCCAGAAGTATCGCAACGATAAAGATTGGCGAGATCCGATGTGTGTTGTGCGCACACGCAGTGAGATGGTGGGTACAAATGGCTGAGCGGTGTTACCCTATCGTTCCATGTACCCTATCGTTCCACGTTCGGCTGCGCAGCTCAAGAAAGTAGTTCGTCGTTGACCGCTCACAAACAGCGTTATAACGGCGCGCGTTCCGTGTTATAACGGCGCGCGTTCCGTGTTATAACGGAGCGTGTTCAGCAAAAAGTATTCCAGAGTGGATGGAACCGCATAGCAAAATCGCGTTGTGTGCGTGTGAACACGCGTTAAGCGAGGATGTGCCGTACTTGCCATATGGTGGCCCATTGCCACATCGGTTCTCTAACTTGTATCTGTTTGCGTGTGTGTGCGTGGTGCAGCTGGACAGTTCCCGTACACACTGAAGCTGTGCTTTTCTACATCGCAGCACAACGCTGACCATGCCAAGGAGCGTTAAAGGAGCCCGCAGCCCACCGTTAATCATTGCTTTCTGTTTATGGTGACTGTTGAACAGTGATTTAAAATGTGCTTTGCGTTTAAGCTGATATGCAGACATTGAGACAATTGTCCCCACTTTTTTATTGATGTAATGTTTGTCAGATTGCTGAAGAACTAGACAAGCAAATAAAATGCATAATTAGGTTTTAGTTACATTGTCAGCTTCATTTCTTTAACCTTTTTAGTGTTTCGTTATGCCAAATCATTGCATCCATCAACAACCAGGACCTCCCCTCTGACTGCACAGCTTATTCCCCCATTTAATACTGGTCTCTGCTCCTCATCTGTCCCCACCATCTCCTTCCCTCGATCTCCCTCCTGTGTCCTCTGCTCACAGCCTCCTTGGTGGTGTCACCTTCTTACTCTTCACTCGCTTTTTCCCACGCCACATCACCGCCGCCACTAGCGTCTACCGCTTTCACCAATTGGGCGTCCGTAAACGCCGCAAAACTCTCCTGGCTCGTTCGATTAGTACGGTTGGCATCGTACGGTGCGAAAGAAGGTCTATATAAATTCTCTGATCTCTACCCATCTGTGATTCTGTAATTCTCTTCATGGTGCTCTCCCTGCCTCTGCCCTCGCTTCGCTTCCCTCCCAAAAAATACAAGAAATGCTTCAAATTATTTTAAATCTCCCCCTATAATTCTCACTCGGCCTTTGCACTGGTTTCCCATTAACTTTTCTCAAATACTTGACCCCGCCAACCTTTAGAGCTCTTAAAGGCCTTGCCCCACCTTATCTTGCCTCATCTTCCTTGCCCCCCATCCCTCTTTACTAGTTTACTCTCTCCTTGTATCCAATCATGTTTTTGGTCATCTTTCCACCCTTCCTACAATAAACTTGTATGTAATGAAGTCCCCCCCCTCTTTTAAGACCTCTCTATGGCCAGTTCTATTCCCGTCCCTCACCCCCTCCACTCATTCCCATAGCTCCCCTTCCTATTCGTGATCCCGAAGCATGTCTTTATAGCTCGCTCTCATTCCCCGATCCTTGCATGCCCACCACCACCATCCAAATCATTCTGCCACCTGTTTTCTTTCTTGAGCGTGTTGAGTGATCGCGATCTATAAATTATATTAAATGAACTTTTTGATGTTTATGGAAAGATCACTCAAATGCTGACATGTTTCATACTTTTTAAGTATATGTATAAATTACAAAGCATCTGTTGCCTCGTTCTTTCTGTCTGTTCTTTGTTTAAATGCCACACTGGGATTCGTGTAGCTCACTGTAATTGCATTACTGTCCGTTTAAATGGCTTTTGGAAAGCGGTGGAGAAACGTATCGTACAAGCATAATCACGTGACCCTGCAGTGTTAGAATTAACCAAGACTGGTATCACGAGTCCTCTGGTGACCAATGGCCCATCGGGTTTGCTTTGGAAAGGTTCAACATTGTTGGCTGTTTGCTTTGGAGAGATTCAACATTGAAAAGCAACCTTAAAATATTCACAATACGAACATGTACATGGCTATATCTACCAACACACCACCATCGTGAAGATAAACACGCAAGCACTGAAGATTGTCAGCAGTGTGATGGCATTTGCTCGCTTTGGCCTTTTAGGCGTCCTATCAATGTGGTTACGGTTCCCGACTTGCGACCAAAATGTTGAAAGTTCAAGTCTCTGGTGTGGAAAGTCCACCATTTTTGGGGGATTCGTTAACTTTAGGTCCGAAAGCAGTGTACAGGTAAACAGTGAGATTAGTTGCTATACAAATTTCCTCCACTTTGTCAAAGTTGCAAATTTTGAGTGCTGTTCCACACTTGTTTTGAGGAAGGCATTCGGAAACGGGGTTTTACTTTTCGGTCAGTTTTTGTGCATTTCACTGTTTATAATTTCCGTGGATCTGAATGTAGGGCACAGGAGGAAAACCTAAATCGTGCTAATGTGTGCCGCCTTGATCCCGCTAAGCTGTAGCAGACGGCACTTGAGTCCCATCTGTTTCCTCACCCCGTCTATTGTGGGCCTCGAAATCCCCAGACTGGATGGTGACTCGTGCGCGCATTTTGGACGTGAATAGCATCGAGGGCCATCGGCGATTCGTTTTACACCTTGTAACCTGGACACGTATAACAACTTATAACAATTGCATTTTAAACCTCGAAATAAGTTTGTGAAATGTTGAAGTTGTCTCCCTGTTTTTAATCGAGTGATGTGGGCAGTGCTGCGTTGGCTGTCCTGAGTGAGTAGAGGAAATTCCACATTCTGAGTAGATCCGTTTTCCTTTTTTTTTACAGACAAGTGGATTCTTTGCAGGAAATGCTGATGCTTCTGTTTATACTCATAAGTGTAATGAATGAGCATGTAGCTAATGCGTTGGTAGTTGCCAGATGGGTTGGTGTGACTAGTTACTGCGGTAGACACAGACAAGACCGCTGTCATTTGTGTTTTTTTTTTGCAAATTGCTAACGTTTTGCTGGTTTTGTATCTCGGATATGTTGAATCTCCTGGTCTATAAATCCCAACACGGATTTCTTCAAGTGTTCGGGGTACGAATGTGATTTCACGCGCCTTCTACCTCCACTCTTTGGACAGTTGGGCCTCGTAGGAAAATAAAACATTTGATGTAAAATCGCGTGTTTACAGGACTGTCTGAAAACCCCTATTTTTGTGCACCCGAATACATTAAGACGTACACACACTACCCCCCCATCTATTATTAGGTTCCAATAGGATTTATGTCGCCGTTAATATGATTTTATTTTCCAAGCGTGCACCCTAATCCCCCCCCCCCCACCACCTCTATCGTCACTGGATTAATGCCGCTCAAAACATTGCGTTGCTGCTAAAAGGATTTGATGTGACAATCCGTGCCGACGCGTCTAGCCTACGTGCCTTTTCCTCGCCTTATTAAGGCAGCAGTAGCGAGCGTGCGATGCTCATTGACACAAAACATTCCTTGACATGCCAACTTTTACTCTGCAGGGTTACCCTGTCAACCTTATTAATTGATTCTGATCTAGCTTCATGGTGCCATTCTACCGCGGTGTTTTCTCAACTTGCCATTGGCGTAGAGTAGAAACGCTCGCTTCTAAATATATACACACACGGCCGTAGGAATTGAATTGGTTTGGGCAAACTGGCTGTTGAATATTCCCATCGCCTGCTCTCTCTGTTCAACCGCTTCCCCGCCGGTACATCGCTTTGACGGCTTGTGCCCAACCCTACCACTCGCCTCGAACACCCTGCTACGATGCCGTCCGCGATGGTTGCGACGAGGGGACACTTTGTGAACGCGACCCCGCCGATGCTGCTCGGGCTCGCGGGGGTGGAGGGCTCTCTGGACAAGGCTGGTCCGTTCAGCCCGGAGGCGTACACCGCGCTCACGTTCGCCATGGCGATGATAGCGCTGTTGGGCGTCTGCTGCAATGCGCTTGTGCTAACGCTCTTCGTCAAGTTCAAGGTACGGTGACGGGTGTCTGTACAATCGATGGTTCGTCAACGTGCGTGGGTGGGTGCTTGTAAATCTAACTCTGGAAGGAAGCGGGGAGGTGGATCGGTCGGCTGGAATGTCACGCGATCAGTTGTTGGGAAGCTCGTGTCGTCTTTCAGAGCCCGCTGCTGATGCGCATGTTGATATTTTATGCAGGCCAAGTTTTCTAGCCGTTTTAATTGTAAATGTGTACGGTTTTTTAAACTTTTTTTTCTATGGAATACCTGCAATAATCTCTGCAGATTATAATAGCGTTTCATAGTTTGCAAAAGGCAGCGAGTAATGGTGATTTATATGAATTTGTATTTTTCCAGATTCTTATCGAATGTATGCGCGAGGTCGATGGTATGTAGATAAACCTTTCCTAAACCCATCTTGCTCATGTGATTGGTTGCCCTCTACATTATGTATGTGTTGTGACAATTTTAGTTTTTAATTTTGAACAATTCTGTATAGAGTAGAGCCCCTCTTAACGACCACCCCTGTTAACGACTAATAGCTTAACGACCGGCCTCCACAGAGCCCAATGTGTAGTGTAGTGTATAGTGTCGTATATAGTAGTGTAGTGTATAGTAGTGTAGTGCTTCAATAAAGCCAAATATGTTCGCTTACCGACCATTCCCCTGTTAACGACGAATCCATTGGTTAACCATGTTTCTTTTAATGTGTTGATAATGTTAGTCTATTTATGTATTCATATCCATTGTTAAAATATTATAAAGTACGTTTTTTGGGTGATAAAGGGTAACTTTCGTTGCTATCGGAACAAATTAAGCCTATCACGTGTGTCTCATATACTCGCTCAACGACAAAATCACTGAACGTGCGGCATCGTGGAACCAATTGCCGTCGTTAAGAGGGGATCTACCGTATTACGTCCGTGTGATGAGAGACTAATCAGCTGATAGTTATTCCACGTCCGTGTTATTACCACTTGAATATAATGAACAAATCATTACACGAAGGCATACATATACATGGAGCATTATAACTGTCAGCTTCACTCATAAACCAAAAACAACTGTACCTACTGCTATATTTTGCCACTGGTAAAGGAGGTCTCAGTGTAAATGCTTACCCCGAGCTCTCAATACTCTGATAGTGCGCTGTTTTTGAGTTGAACGCCTATTGGCGTCATCTGGTCCAACACCAATGGAGACTAGGCTCTAAGAAAAGCTGTCTCGGGTGTGATACAATCAACTTCAAGGACAATGCATATCATTATCAGAGTTGTTTCTTTTTGTTTGCATTTTGACTGCTTGTGTTGTGGTTATTGCAAACATGATGCCTTGTATAAAGGTGTCAGTTTTTGTACCAGTTGAAAGGGTAAAAACCTATCACATCTGCAGTGAATTATTAGTGACGACGTATTTGCGAAACGACATAAACACGTGGCAGACGTCACAGGTGGATTAACGCTGCGGACGTGCTTTAGGAAACGCACGTTTTTCTTTGACCTACATCAGGGAGGTGAAAGCCCCCCCCACCACACACCCCCCACCCCCCTCCTAAGCCTTGCGAGTCGAACGCAGTCCCCATGAATCAATGTCGCCCAATTAAACAGACGAAGGGCGGCGGGCGGGTGGGGGTGGGGGCATTCGTGTAATCCAATTTACGAGCGAAGGAGACCGCTTTATTGAGAACGATGATGGATCGTGCCCTTCAAGGCCTGCCGTTGTCCCACCGCTCGCGCACACGGAAGACCACGAGGCCAGCCTCCCCTGCGTGGGCCTCGTCCCGCACCGCCGGTGCTGGGCAGAGGTCGCAAACTGGTTTTGATTCTAGATTTGAAGCTTTCGTGACTGCAAGGATTCATATTCTTAGGTTTTTTCGGTAAAGTCACGTAGGTAAAACATTAAAATTAATAAAAGTAAAATAAAATAAAAATCACGACGTTTCGGAGGCAACACACCTTACCATAATAATAAAGAGTGGGCCATTCCTGCCCCTTCCCCTCTCCCCCCCCCTCAACCATTATATAATCGGAGTGGTATCTCCTGTAATCTCTCATTTACTTGATACAGCTGTCGAGCTGTGGCGGTTCCACCTGAAGATGGAAGCTTGTGTTGCCTCCGAAACGTCGTGATTTTTATTTTATTTTACTTTTGTTAATTTTAATGTTTTACCTACGTGACTTTACCGAAAAAACCTAAGAATATGGTTTTGATTCCTTACCCGTACCCGGCCGCACCAGGGTCGCAAACGGCTACCCGTACCCTTACCCGGCCGGGTACGGGTAGCTGGGTATCAGGTAGGGTACGGGTATCGGGTACCCGGTTGCGACCTCTGGTGCTGGGCCACGGAACGACGCCTCGGGCGAGCAGTACTGGCAAAGGAGGTCCCATGATGATGATGCATATGTTATCAGTGCACGGTTTGTGTGCAGTGCCGGATTAGCTTAGGAGCAAAAGTAGCTACAAATGCTACGGGCCCCGCACTTTCAAGGGCCCCGCGTTAAATGCTTTCAAGCTATAAATTCCGTTTCAGTGATTCTGCACTTGCTCTATTACTAAAGTACTATACTGCCTTTAACTTTTATGAACGACTGCGGGTTTAAGGTTAGAGATTTGTCGTATTATCTGGCTGTATAGGAAATGAAAAAATAGAATTACTTTACAATGCAAGTTAAAAAAAATTTGTTTTCATATTTAAGTGTTTTTTAGGGCCCCTTTCTAACACATGCTACAGGCCCCGCACTAACTTAATCCGGCACTGTTTGTGTGTGTGTACGTTTTACCACAAGCACATTATGTGGTTAATGCAGACTTTTTGATGCCTTGCGATAAAAGGTGACTTAACACCGCCTGTGTCATAGCCAGAAAATGGCTAAAGCCGATCATTATTTTCATTAGCGCGTTTGGCTACGTACGGCGCGAAATAAGTTTCAGCGTACAAGTTAAAAATACAAAGGGAGTAGCACCTATAGTGAAGGCCAGCACGGCACACGAGGGGGTGAGTGGGCCAGTATCATGCCCGGCCACCTTTGTCTCCCTAGTGTCGATGTTTTACACACCGCACCAGGTACTCATTTGAGGCTAAATCTACCTAGCAGAAGGCACCGCACATCCGTTTAGCACGGTTGGCTACGTACGCTGCGAAAACGTTCTGCACACGTACATTTAAGGGGCCGTCCATAAATGACGTCACGCGATTTTGGACGATTTTTGACCCCCCCCCTTCGTCACACGGCATCACAAAGCTATGCTCCCCCCCCCAAAAAAATAAAACATGCTTCAAATCGCTTTAAACTATTGTCATTGTAGTGCGTATTTAATGTACCGCTGCACTCTGATGTTGTAGGAGAACACATTTATTAAAAAGTCTATTTAATTAAGTAGAACGTGTTGTCTATATTTATTTCAAGTTGCGCATTTTGATGTGACGTCACATTTCTCACCCCCCCCCTCCCCCCTCGTCACACATCGTCACAAATGTCTGACTCCATAAATGATGTGCGTGACGTCATTTATGGACGGCCCCCTTAACTTCCCCTTCGATGCGTCGATGCGGTGTCCCGTGCGTCTCGTGTGCGCGTCTCATCCCCATCCCCATCCCCCTCCCCTCCCACCGCCGTCTTCCTACAGAGGCTGCGGACGCCCGCCAACCTCCTGGTGGCCAACATGAGCCTGAGCGACCTGCTGGTTTCGTTGTCAGGCAGCGGTCTCTCGCTGGGGGCCTGCGTGGGGCACGGCTGGAGCTGGGGGCCCCTCGCCTGCATCTGGGACGGATTCGCCAACACTTTGTTCGGTGTGACATTCGCCGTGCGTGTCTTCGAAGTCAGCCGCCGTTGCCGCGCGGATGTTTGTAGACGTTAGCGTCATCGTGCAGTCGTGCGTCAAAGTTGAAGCGTCATCACTGCTGCCCTTACTTCCGATTTTAGGGCAGTCACTGGGAGCTACGTATTTTTTAAATCGTCCAAATTGAAAACTCATGTCGTTAGAACTGATTTTGTGTGGTCGGGTCTTCTTGATTCTTTCGGTAAAGTCACGTAGAAGGGAAGTAATAAAATAATAAAAATAAAACAATAATTATTATTTCCCTTCTACGTGACTTTACCGAAAGAACCAAGAAGATGAATCCCTGCAGTCGCGAAAGCTTTAAATCGAAATGTGTTCGGTTCGTTCGTCATTCCCCCGCACCTCCGATTGGCACGGTTGGCTACGTGCGGTGCGAAAGAAGTTCCGAACACGCGTAGAGTGCATACGACGCCTGCTGTGGAATGTCAACATCGGCGCTGGGTGGGGGGGGTACAACAGGGGGTGGGGGAGTTGCTGCCCACTCCGATGCCCTACCCTGACTCTCATGGTGGTTTGCCAACAGTACTTTGCCCATCTTCTGCGCTGGTATAACGCAGTTCCTTGTACGAATGCATGATGTGTGTTGAACTTCTTTCGCGCCGTACGTAGCCAGCCGCGCCGGGGAAGGACAAATCAAAGTAAACACAAAAAACATTTCTGATGGCATGGATTTTTCGATCGAGATGATTTAAAAGTGCCGGAGCTCCACGGTGGCTTGCCAATATCGGAAGGAAGAGAGCGTTCCAGACGGTCACAGAAGCGCACCTGAAAGCGCCGCGCAATGCCGTGACCCTCTTTGTTCGACGGTGTTGTTTCTTGAGGGGTTACAGACCGCGGCCTCAGATTGTGATGCCCCACCCCCCCACCCCACTCTAAACTTATATATTGTTCCCTAACATTTCGATTTAAAGCTTTCGTGACTGCAGGGATTCATATTCTTGTTTTTATTGGTAAAGTCACGTATTCTCCTTCTCTCCCCCCTCCGTTCCGAGCATAGATGGACTCGTCCGTCTGAACAACCGCCAGTTGCTGTCCGTGGTGCTACCGTTAAGAAAAAAACGCCACTTTTTTAGATTTTCTTGCTGTGGTTTTCACACCTGATGATGATTGCTTGTGTTGCAGTCGAAACGTCGTGATAATTTTATTGTTTTATATTTATTATTTTATTATTTCCCTTCTACGTGACTTTACCGAAAGAACCAAGAATATGTTCTCTAACAGTTAAAATGCCTACTCGAACATGATGATAAATGCTGTAGGTAATTCAACGTAGGCGCCGGCAGGTCACGTGACAACTGTGTGTATTACTACCAATCGTGTGTGAAACAAACACATATCATCGCAACGTGTTCATTTACAAATTGTTAATTCCATTAATAGAAGAAGAAAAAAACCATCCAAAAGTGTGAAGTAACCAAGGTGAATAAGAGTGTAGCGTTTGGCATCGGGCACGGGTTGTCTGGTAAGACAGTCGAGGGTAGGGGATTCAATTCGACAAAGAGGGGAGACCCAGGTACCCCCACCCACCCACCTCCCACCCCCTCCTCTCCATCACACTCAATCGGTCGCCACAGCCGACGGCCACTGTGAAACCCTGGGGGGTCCGTTTCGTTTGTCGCCAGGACTCGTCTCAATCGCGTCGCTGAGCGCGCTGGCGTGGGAGCGCAACGCGCGCCTGACCAACTCGGACGACGCGACCTTCGACCTCTCATGGAGCTTCCGCGCCGCCCTCGGCACCTGGATGTACGCCCTCGCCTGGGCCTCGCCGCCCACCGTGGGCTGGAACCGCTACGCGCTGGAGGCGCATCGCCTCGGCTGCTCGGTGGACTGGCGCTCCAGGAGGCGCGCGGACTGCACCTACACGCTGCTGCTGTTCCTATGCTGCCTGGCGATGCCCGTGCTGCTCATGACCTACTGCTACGGCAACATCGTCTTGACCGTTCGCAGGGTGGGTGGGAGTTTTATTTTTAACACGTAAAGGGACGTACATGAATGACGTCACGCACTGGGGGGGGGGGGGGGGGTTAGATATTTGTGACGATGTGTGACGAGGGGGGAGGGGGTGTTTGAGAAATGTGACGTCACATCAAAATGCGCAACTTTAAATAAATATAGACAACACGTTCTACTTAATTAAATAGACTTTTTTTTATAAATGTTTACTCCTACAACATCAGAGTGCAGCGCCACATTAAATACGCACTACAATGACAATAGTTTAAAGCGATTTGAAGCATGTTTTTTTTGGGGGGGGGGGGGCAGAGCTTTGTGACGTCATATTTGAGGGGGGGTCAGATTTTTTTTGACGCCGTGTGACTAGGGGGGGGGGGGGGGGGGGGTCAAAAATCGTCCAAAATCGCGTGACGTCATTTATGGACGGCCCCTAAGGCTTTCGCGACTAATATTGTGTTTTCGTTGTTGTTGTTGTTGGGTTAGATCGCATAAATGTGAAATGTATTGCAAGCCCACCTCCACCTGATAAACACATTTAGGAAGGTTTGTCTGTTTGACAAACCTAATTGGCACGTAACGTGCCAATTCGTTGCTACACACCGGTTGTGTGTGTCAGAGAGCAAACCCACATGAACATTTACCATTTGGGTACGACGTTTCGCTGGTGATTACAACCAGCTGCATCAGGCGTCATCAAATTGTTAATCTTGTGGGTTTGCCGTCTAACACAGAACCGGTGTGGTGCTGAAGTAGCGACGAATTGGCACGTTATACTCCACGTGGCAAAACTTACTCATTTCCTGTGTCGGGTGTAAGTGGGTTTACGACACATTTTACAATTATGCGATCTAACCACCCCCAAAAAAGACTACAAGACGCAGGAGGGGGGGGGGGGGGGTGAGGGTTTGTAATTCCTGGAACTGATCCCATGTTTGTGTTTAGCCTCTAATCATCCTGATATGTGCGCTTGGACAGGCGCACGATGTATCGATAAGACGATCGGCGGTTGTCGAAGATGTGTTGATTGGAAACATTTCACAGAGAGAGAGAGAGAGGAGGCTGAAGAGTGCACAGAGAGGCTTTGCGAAGTTGTACGCTCGGGACGACCCTTGAGAGCCAGGGAAATAAGGGCAAAGGCGCGAATTGAACTCAAGTTAAAGACATCGCAACGACTCCGAGTGACCGTCCACTTGTGCTGAACACCTCGCTGGGAGGGGTCGATACCCAGCGGTCGAGACTCCTTTTGGCATCTTTGAACTCATCTTCTTTGTTCTTTCGGTAAAGTCACGTAGAAGGTAAATAATAAAATAATAAAAATAAAACATAATAAAATAATTCTCACGACGTTTCGGCTACAACGCAAGCAGCCGTCCTCAGGTGAAGAATGAAACACCACCTGAGGACGGCTGCTTGCGTTGTAGCCGAAACGTCGTGAGAATTATTTTTTATTATGTTTCATTATCATTATTTTATTATTTACTTTCTACGTGACTTTTCTGAAAGAACCAAGAAGATGAATCCCTGCAGTCACGAAAGCTTTAAATCGAAAAATCTTTGTACTCGCCTAAAACAACGACACCGACCGCAGCCAAAAACACATCGTGACGCCGATTGCAGTGTTCGCGCAAAAAAGAAAACTCCATGCCCTCTCTGCCCCCCGCCCGCTGTGCCCTACCGCGCAGTTCCGCAAGCTGGAGGTCCTGGAGGCCCCTCAGGTGCTCAAGGCTCGGTGCTCCGAGAGGAAAGTCTCCGCCGTGTGCCTGCTCATGATGCTGCTCTTCCTGCTGTGCTGGTCGCCCTACGCCGTCGCCTCATTGCTCGTGGCTTCTGGGCTCGAGCACCTGGTGACCTCCCCCGTCTCCATCGTGCCCTCCCTGCTCGCCAAGTCCAACGCCGTGTGCAACCCGCTGCTCTTCCTGCTCATGAGCGGCAACGTACGTGCGTGCGGCAACGTTTTTGTTGTTGTATATATGATGTATATCGAAACGACGTAACATCAAAGCGATGTACAGGGTGGGTGGAGGCGCGAAGGCTTCGAGGGCTTATGGACACGAGAACGGACGATGCTGCCGGCGACGTGAGCGCGAGTTGAGAGGCGACGAAAATCGGGAAGTGGTATTCATAAAGTGATGACGTATTTGCGAAACGACTTAAAAGGGTGGCGGGGTGGGGGGGTGTGGGCGGGGTGGGGGGGGTGGCTGGGTGGGGGGGGTGGCGGGGGGGGGGGCGGGGTGGGGGGGGTGGCGGGGTGGGGGGGGTGGCGGGGTGGGGGGGGGCGGGGTGGGGGGGGTGGCGGGGTGGGGGGGGTGGCGGGGTGGGGGGGTGACTGGGTGGGGGGGCGGGGTGGGAGGGGTGGCGGGTTGGGGGGGTGACTGGGTGGGGGGGCGGGGTGGGGGACGTAAATCTGCGTGTTATCGTATGCACATCTGCGCTGTTACAGGATACAGGCAGACAGGGCCCGTCCATGGAGGGTTGTGGGGTCACAGGGCAATTCGCACTGTGTGGGCCCCCCTGACGCCTTAAAACTAAACCACAAGTTTCGATTTAAAGCTTTCGTGACTGCAGGGATTCATCTTCTTGGTTCTTTCGGTAAAGTCACGTAGAAGGGAAATAATAAAATAATAAAAAGTAAAAATAATAAAATACAATTCTCACGCGCACCCCAAGGACAGCTCTGTAGGTAGACTTCGCTTAGAGCGACGCTGCAGAACGCCGGTTCATTAAAAGCGCTCGTTGGCCGCGACAGAATGACTGATACATTGTGGGCATGCTCAGGGAAGCCAATGGTCGTCAGTGGGTCGGCTAACAGCCCAAAATTCCACCAAATGGACTGTTTCGATCCACAAATTGTGTGATAGGAATTTATGTTGCTGATATATATATATGAAAAAAAGATCGCATCTGCTGGATAAAAAAAATGCCTCTGCTTGATCACTGCTTCATGTCATAGCTCGATCACTGCTCAATCACATAGATGCACGTATTAAAATTGTGCGGTCCCTACTTCATCAACTAGACACACGTATGAAAAATGTCATAGTGCGCACAGTTGTTGTTTCAGTTTCATTCATTAGGATTTACCCTGTGAGCCATTCGGCTCTTGATTTGGGTGCAACCGCAACAAACAATAACATTACAAGATACACCTAAAATTCATTGTACACAAATCTAAACATCACGTACATAAACAATGAAATACTACAGAAAAAGCACCACCCGTCCATGCTGCTGTATGCGTGCAGTGTCGGTTCCTGATCATAGCCAATATTAGTGGCCAGCACCACACCCGGCCGCCTTTGTCTCCCTCGTTGCAACATTTACGCATCGCTCCAGGTACTCATTTGAGACCGAGTCGACCTAGGCGGAGCAATCGTCACCGCTGTTGGTGGCCGTGAGCGGGAATCGAACTCGGCTCTCCCGGCGGCTCTCGTTGCTAACCCGCCGCTCCACCCACAGTTCTGCCGCTGCCTGCGGACGATGTTCTTCACGCTGCGCTGGAGGTCCAACCTCAGCCGAGTGGGCATCGTGTGCCCGCAGTCGCAGCGCCACCCGCGGCAGCGCGACGCCACGCGACCCAAGAAGAAGGTCACCTTTAGCTCCAGCTCCATCGTCTTCATCATCACATCGAGCGAGGAGAAAGACCCCACTGACGCCGCGGGAGAGAACAGTGCCGCGGCCGCGCTCGCAGTCCCGGCGGACACGTGCGTCGTTCACGTGAAGCCCACGTGACGAGCGAGAACTTGGGCTCGCGCGTTGGGCTTGGACCGCGGGGCGTTTTCAGGGCACGCACGCGGAGCGCGAGTCGGACCGTCGAAACCATCCGGGGAAGATGTTTCTTGCGCCCAACGACCCCCCCTCCTCGCCTCTGTCCACGTGGAGCGAACCACTCGAAGTTGACTCGGCGCCAGTGTTTTTTGTTCTTTCATCTGTGCCATAGCAATGTGGATTTCTCGCCAATGGCTCAGGGCTGTCAACGGACGAGCCACCACCCTAATTGTTCGTTTGAGCGGCGAGAAATCACATTGACTTTCCCTCTACCCCAGTACGAACACGCGCGCTGCGATCGACCTGCAGGTCGCGTGCGGTGGGATGAAGCGTGGGGCACTTCCACCTCTTCCGAGATAAACGAGTAGGCCGAAACATCCGATGGGAGGGAAAGCTCGAGATCTCCGTCTCGTGGAGGCTCTTTCGCCGGCAGTAGCGTGAGCGACCTTTCTCAGGACTGCGCCTTTTATATTTACACGTCAACAGGTAGCCTGAAAGCACGCATGCATGCATGTATGTTGAACTTTATTCGCACCGTACGTAGCCGACCGTGCTGATTGGAGGTGCGGGATAGTACACGCGGAGTCAAACGATGCGATAGAAAGTTGCCATATTCTGAAAGGATCTGCATGCACAGACACCCCAAGGTTGTGAAAATTTCAGCGCGAGGGCAAAGGCATACCACGCGGTGACGATATCCTCCATGCGGTTTGTACGTCCGCGCGCGAGCCAATCAGTTGCATTCGTGACTTTAATTCCGACGGTGACCGGATTTTTAAAATCCTTTATATTAAGTTCACTTGCTTGCTTGCTGGCGCGCTTACGACCGTGCAAATCTTTCGGTCGCCTTTTAACCCACTTCCCGTGATCCAATCGAGCTGACATTTTGCACACACTCGTTGTGCGTGACAATTTATTTTCGTGAAATTTTTTTTCCAAAATTTTACACTTTTTAGGGGAAAAAAATATTTAATTACCAATTGCTTAATGGTGGCAGGCAATCATCTGACCCATAGGTGGCAGCCATCTCAAGCCAGAGGACGAGAAGACTCTAGCCGCCACGCATATAAAGGATTTATAGTGAAAAACTTTGTTTTTACGGGTTAATTTTTCTTGAACGAGGTCGTTGATTCTGAAAACGTCGACAGGTTTCACCGGTTTAAATCATTCAACGACCCTAATTAGTGTGAGCTCGTCTGTCGGGAGTGAACTCACTTGGTGTTCAAAGACACGTGCGTGCGTGCATGTATGTACGAGGTTTTACGATATTTCTGTATGAATACATTTGGAAATGTACAATCTATTTAGAATCAGAATTATTCTTGAATAGTCTCCATTTTTTGCGGTACACCAATAATAACTGTAAAGACGCAAAAGGCAAATCTTAAATCCAGTCATTTGAACTCTTGGCAGCTACTTTCATGACTGATGCCCCTTTTTTAAAATACAGTATGCACATTATACATATACAGAATGTGAAAATGTTTCATATACAACATTAACGCACGGTATTGTACACTGTATTAATTTCCTTTAGTTTTTTAAAAGTGGTTAATATTTTTTTACACGTGTTTACATCTGAAAAACCAAATCAGCTGGCACGTTTGCCAATGAGGTGACAACTTGATTCGATTAGCTATGTGAACGATTAGAGTTGAATTGGCATTGTACATACACGACCATCAAACTCCAAAATAAACAAATTACGAATCGTAAAATTGGTCGTGAAAGCCCTACGTAGAAACATGTTGTTGCCTCTAAAATTTATCCACGGGATTTCAAGAGGATGCGTCTGTAAATGCCACACTCTAGACCAGTGGTTCTAAACCTTCATCACAGTATTTTTTAAATAATATTAATACATACATAGGGTTTTTATTAAACAAAGTATTTGTTTTTTACGTGCCCGTGTTTAATTTGTTTCGATCATTTACCTGCCAAACAAATCTGGCAGCGTCTCGCACCCCAATTTAAGAAGCACTGCTGTGTAGACGGTACACACAGTATGCTGTGTAGACGGTACACACAGTATGTTGTGTAGACGGTACACACAGTATGTTGTGTACACGTGGGCGCATCTGTACATATCGTTCGTCACTAACTCATTCCTGTTTAGAGTTAAAAAAATAAATGTCAGCACTTCAGCAGCGTACTGTGTCTGACCTTTGTTACCCTGAAACAGCGGCCTACGCAACAACTGTTATACCCAAGGTGGTCACCCTATCCAATCGCTAATTATCCAGACCCAATCGTATACGAAGAGCGGCCGAGATCCGACGAGATCGAGAATGTGAGCTTTACGCAAGAAAAATATTTGACGCATTTATCCATCTCGTGACGATACCACTTTGTGTTTGAAAGAAAGAATGTCGTTTCTAATTAATAATCGAGCTAACCGTCTTAACCACGTGCCTCTCATTGAATTAGGAACACGATGAGTCACACTGCCAATCGCCGGGGAGATTTCGGTCATTAAACAAAGACGAAGACCCCCCGTATAGCCGTAACAGACTGTTGGGCAAGTGCTGTTAGCGAGCACCTATGAAGGCCGGCACGGCACACGAGGGGGGGGTGGCCAGCGCCACGCCCGGCCGCCTTTGTCTCCCCAGCGGCGATGTTTACACACTGCGCGAGGTACTTGTTTTGAGGCTGAGCCGACCTAGGGGAGGCCCAGGAACTGTTCAGTGTTGTTTGTGAGCGGGAATCGAACTCAGGTGGCCGGGTTCTTAGCGCAACGCGATAACCGCTACACCCCCGCTCATTGAACACACACGCGCACGTGTATTAATTGAATGTAATTGTTATACGACTAGAAATACACGTTTCGTATCATGTGCAAAAAAAACAATCGTCATCATGTAGGATCGCAACGTGATGTGTGTGCGCTGAGCGCATTGCTTACTTTGTTGGCAAGATTATTCATATCGCAGTAAACCAAACTACACAACGAAGGCATCGTCCGAGAATGAATTGTACAATTTTGGACCGTCGGCGAAGGTAAGTTTCCTCTGTAGACGATAGAAATGTGTGTGTGTGACTTCTGGTGCGGGTGAGACTAATGCAGCCTCGAAACATCTACCGTAATATAAGACGCTTGCTTACATCTGCATAACAAGCATGCAAACACAACGCGTCTGATGTACACGAATCGGGTCGACCGCCCCAGGCCCAGCGCCTTGGGGGAGCCCACGGCGTGATTTTGCCCTGCCCCCCCCCCCCTTCCGCCTCACGGACTACGTGCCTCCCTTGTTTATATTATTGAGAAGCCGGCCCTTAATTCCTTCACTTGATCGTGCTTTGAACGAAACGCGTGCGACCATTAGCTGCACGTAAGCTCATCATCCGATTTGCAGAGCTGAATCGAGGTCGTTGCCACTCCTGGTCCGGATGCGCAACGATTGACGTGGTTTGTCGAGAGCAGGCAGACGTTTTTAAATCCTTTATATTAAGTTAACTTGCTTGCTTGCTTGCTTACGACCGTGCAAATCTTTCGGTCGTTTTTAACCCACTTCCCGTGATCCAATCGAGCTGACATTTTGCACACAGACTCGTTGTGCGTGACAAATTATTTTCGTGAAATTTTTTTCCCCAAAATTTTACACTTTTTAGGATTTTTTTTTATATTTAATTACCAATTGCTTAATGGTGGCAGGCAATCATCTGACCCATAGGTGGCAGCCATCTCAAGCCAGAGGACGAGAGGACTCTAGCCGCCACGCATATAAAGGAATTATAGTGAAAAACTTAGTTTTTACGGGTTATACTTGTTCTTTTTTTGACGAACGGGATGTGTGTGCGCGTGTGCTTGGGCTGAGCCGTGAGTCTGTCGCTGGTAGGCGCCTCTGCGTGTTGCGCACACACCCAATGCGCTCACGACATTCTACTCATGTTAAGGGCGCGTGTGAGAAAACTTTGTTTTTACGGGGTTTTTTTTCCTTCCACCCCCCACCACCCTCTTTTTTTCGGCGCTCCCGCTCCCAATTCTCGGCCCCAAGCCAAATAAAAAACAATTGGTGACGAGTGATATTTATTCTCTCACCATTCGTGTAAAAAAAATATATGAAGGTGTAATGCTTAAACGTGAACGATAGCCACGTGTTCTATAGCCCCTGCCACGCGTGCAAACAAGCACGTATATCCACTCCGGTGAAACGGTATCCTGAAATAAACTTTATTTTATTTGTTGAACTGCCTTCGAGATTGAAGATCGCGGTCATACCGACAGCCCGCTTCGGAGTAACAGCGGCTCTAATGCGTCCTTGCAAATGCTAATCGGATGCTCACGGCACGATGCCGTGGAAAGGAAGATGGGCATTTAAAGTGGGATGCTTTAGTAGTTTCTAGCGAACGCGTTGTGAACGTCGGAAACGCGACTTGCTGCTGCTAGGCACTGCGGCGGAATTCCCAAGTTGCGAACCAAAATCACTGGAAAATAATATCCATCGTAATTTATATGAATATATTAACCCCCCCCACCCCTCCCCCTCTGGTCTTCACACGTGATCATCTCACAAGTGACGAGCATCTCGTTTATCTGCTGTCAATTTAAGACTGACACAGAAGGAGGATTTCTTCACAAATCTGGATATGCGCCTGATGATGCTGGTTGTAATTAGCGGCGAAAAACGTCGTACTCGAGTTGTTAATGTTGTTGGTTTAATGTAACACGCAGTAGGCTTAGATCGCGTAAATATAAATGTCGTGAAATCCGCCACCACCCGACACGGCCAATTAGTAAGGTTTGTCATGTAAACAGAACACGCCAATTCGTCACGAGTACAGCACACTGGTGTGTTGGAGAGCAAATGAATCCGAGTGCATTTACAATCTTGTAAATGTTGTGGGTTTACTCTCCAATACACACCGGCGTGCTGTACGAGTCGCGAATTGGCACGTTCTGTTTACGTGACAAACCCGACTCGTTGGCTGTGTCGGATGGTGGCAGGGGTTAACGACACGCTTATATTTACGCGATCAAACACCCCCCAAAAAAACCTCATGGACAAAACCATTATCGTGAAATGCGACATTTGTGTTTTTTCTTCAACGTATTTCTTCCGTGCACAACTTCTACATCCTCTTTGGTTCTTTCGGTAAAGTCACGTAGGTATAAAATAAATAAAA